AAATAATATAACAAAGAATATATTTTAAATTCCATAGATATGTAAATTCTCATAACTGTTTTATTAATTTCTGTATTTTAATTAAACTTAGAAGTTAAAAAAATTATTAAACTGCCATAGTTAAGAAAACGACTAGTGTAGTAGTAGTCACTCGAGTCGTTTAAATCTCCAAAAAAGCTTGTAATGTCTTTTCAAAATATTTCAAACACCTGGCGATAATAAATTATCCACTGGTAAAATTTTTTTTTGATGAAAATTTCACACAAATGAAGTTTCAACAAAAAAAAGAATGCTCGCGAAAAATAGAACTAAAACTAGTAAAAAGGCGGAGAAAGAAAAAAATTATGAAACTTTTACGGAGACTTTAACGATTGATTTGTGTGGAAAGGTGACAGTTAGGGAACAAGGACGCAACTTTTAACAACATTAGTGAATGATGACAGATAATTTAAAAAAAAAACAGAACATTTTTACAGTGAAGCAGAACAATAAACATCAATAGGTTTGTCAAAAATAAGGAAGGAATTTATATGAAGAAAGGAGTTTAAAAGCATAAAAGAAGACAACCTATGGCAGTGCGCCGGCGCTAATACCGCAAAACCTGTTGCCATGGTTAAACATGTGGAATAATGTGTGAATTTTTTTTACAAAAGAAATTTTTTTGGTGAAAAAAATTTTTTTTTGTTAAATTCTAAAACTTACCATAAACTGTGGGTAAACTGATTAATAATGTTATAATAATCGCATGGAGGCCGTAATCCAATTTTCGCCGAGACAGCAACATGATGCTGACAATTCTACTCACACACATGCATATATGTATACATATATGAGCACATACACATTCACTCACTCAATAAGATTAAGCACTCACTAAAAAAACACTTGGGATATAATCACAATTTTCCATTATTTAATCACGTACATTGTTCACATTTCACTATTATTATTATTCCAATTATTCAATGTTTACGTTTGGAATAAGAGTTTTTTTTTTTAAAAAGAAAAAGCATTTAAAAACTTAATTGACAAACGCGAACCACGAGCGCGTCGCAAGCACTTCTAGGGGACCTATTGTTCACTTAACGCTCTGAAAGTAGTCCCCGATTGCGCGCGCATTAACTGGGCACATGCGTATTCCTCCGCTTCACAAGAACCGCAATGGCAAGAACTGTACCATAAACCGAACAACACCATTTCCATAGTCTATTCCATATATAATAATATTCTTTAAAAATATTATTGTCAACGATAATTTCATTCATATAATAGAAAAATTTTCTTTTTTTTTATTGATCTTCAAATATAAATTTTTATGCCCATTTTTGATTATAAATTTAACTGAGGATTATAGAATATTCTCTGTTCTCACAGTACTTTATATACAAAAAAATATTTCAATTACAGACTCAAATAAAGCATATCAATTTTTTTTTATCCAGCAAATACTAACAATAAGTGTTAGAGATGTAACTAAAAACAAATGAAAATTTGCGAAGCGATAATTACGGCAAACTTTAAGGAAAAAAAAAAAATCTTTATCTAGAACAGCGATATGTTTCTTTAGAATAGCGAAAACTTTTTCTATTTTAGTGAAACATATCGCTGTTCGAGGTGAAGATTTTTTTTCCATTAATTGCAATGCAATTTTTGGGTTTTTTTCCAATTTTATGGCAAGGTGAAGAAATATTGCTGTTTTTTAGAATTGCACTGGATATTTAAGGATATCCCTGAGACATCCTATGGATATTCATTTGCTTCTTACGGTTTGGATATATATCCCTAGGATGTCTTACGATATCCTATAGGGATCCTAACCGTCAGAAGCAAATGAATATATCCATAGGATGTCTCAAGGATATCCTTAAATATTCAGTGCTGTAAGGATTTATTGTCGCATATAAAAAATTTGGGTTCTTGTAATTGTTATGTAGAATCTCCCAAAGAACCGAAACTTTCCTGAAAATTTAGTAAATATATTTACTTACAATATTTGGAATATTTAATTGCAATGTTTATTAAAAGTTTATGTAAAAATTTAAATGTCCCACTTGAATAAATGTTTAGCGCTAAACTTTCCTGAACATTTAAATGAAATTTTCGCCTAATTATAATTATTATTATTATTATTATTATTATAATTAGGCGAAAATATCATTTAAATGTTCAGGAAAGTTTCGCGCTAAACATTTATTCAAGTGGGACATTTAAATCTTTACATAAACTTTCAATAAACATTGCAATTAAATATTCCAAATATTGTAAGTAAATATATTTACTAAATTTTCAGGAAAGTTTCGGTTCTGTGGGGGATTGCATATAAAATTTTATTGTAGGAAAACTTTTATAGGATCATATGTAGGAATACATATTGAATCATATAGAATCCTGTGGGCAAAAAACCATGTTCGTTCTTAAAACATTTTAAGGACGTTCTTAGAACGTTTCATGTCCGCCAAATAATGTTCTGGAACATTTTAAGAACATGGACGTTCAAATAATGTTCCAGAACATTATTTGGTAGACATATGAAACGTTCTAAAAACGTTTTTAGAACGAAAATGGTTTTTTGCCCACAGGGAAGACTCTTTAAAAAATATCCTAAGTAGTAGGAATCTCCATGAATTCTTGTAGGTTATCCTTACAGAAATCCACATGTGATCAAATTTGAAAATCTGATATCAAATTCGTAATCAGCGATCCCAAAAACCCCCCGAGTAACGAATTTCAAGCGAATTCGTACGATTATTTAAAATTCATCCACCATATTGGATCCGCAATTTTTAATTTTGAAAAGTGACCTAAAAATAGCGTTTTTCTTTTATTTTCAAGGGCAAATTCCTCAAAAATGATGGATCAATTCTTTTTACAGATTCGTGTTTAACGTCGGAAAATCTATAAGAATCAATCCCCACAGCAACGAAACTTTCCTAAAGATTTATTTGAAATGTTCGGAGTATTTAATTGCAATGTTTAGTGAAAATTGTATAAAGATTTAAAAGTTTCACACTAAACATTTAAATCTTTAAAAAAAATTTCACTAAACATTGCAATTAAATATTCCGAACATTTCACAAATAAATCTTTAGGAAAGTTTCGGTGCTGTGGGGGAACCATAAACAATCCCAGAAATAAAAATCCTATTGTACCGTGTATAATTAGAATAAAATTCAATTTTGTCTTTATCTATTTCTTCAGGCGTGAGAGCACTCTTTTAATTTTCTTATATATTTGATCGTTTATTTCCGTACATACTCGTAATAATAATTTGCATCCTTGCCTCGCAACAGTGATCTCATTATAAAATTACTGCAAGGTCGCTAATACAATTTACTGTAATTTTATATAAAATACTAATTAACATATTAAACAAATAATAATTAATGTGCAATAGTTTCTTTTTTATACAGCTGCGCAATAAATAAAACCTTGTGTCCATAAAATGTTTAGAAAAAATACATCACTTTTTGTGACGAAAAAAAAAAAATATTAACTTTAAAAAATCAAAAATTTTTAAAAATATTTCTTCTTTTTTTAGTTCTATGACATTAAACAGTAAAATATGATGTAAAATTTTTGTAATTAAAAACAAAAAATGATTGTAGCCTATCTCTATGAGGAAGCACTGTATTCATGAGATGAATACATAATAGGTAGTACTCGAGGGGGAATTCACTCTGGTAGTCAAGTGTACACTCTTCTTGTAATACTCAGTAATACTAATGTAATATGTAATGCAATTTTTTTCATAACCTAAAACCATATTCCACTATAAAAAAATTAAAAAACATAATTTTTTATTTTACATTTTTGAAAAAAGTTGAAATTCCTCAAAATCCAACCTTAAAATTTTTTATTTTTCATTAGAAAGCTAAGAAATTTTCCAACAAAATTGTATAAATATAAGAATGGAACCACATTGGAATTAAAAAAAACCCCAATTTTTTATATTTTTTCGCAAACCCAATGTTGTCCCTTTTTTATATTTATAGTTTTGTTTAAAGAAAAATAGGGTTAAAATTTTTTTTCAAAATAAAAACTTTTGTCATTAAAAACTATATGAAAAACTCTATTAACAAATTACAATCCATAAAGTTTTGTAGAAGTTATACGAATTTGAAAATAACAGTGTTACCTAAAAACTCTAAAATTTAAGGGGTTAGTACCACATCTCAGTGACTTTTCTTAAATATTTTATATTTATTACAAAATTAATTTTATTTACTTCAAACTTTTTATACTTAAAAAAAGGGCTTATAAACTATAAAAAAAAAATCTTGTCTCTATCGTCGGAACTACGATCAACTATTTTCGATGAAAAAAATAAATAAAATGGCGGACTTTTTTCATTTTTTACCTTGTTTTATCAACATAAATTGTTTAAATATTTTAAAAAAAAATTAGTTCTGACGATAGCGGTATATGTGTAGAATAAGCAATAAAAATTTGAGCTTAATCGATGCAATAGTTTATTTTCTGATATCCGTGAGGTCAAAAAAAAGTTGTTTTCAGAAAAAGCGACTTGTATCCCGTTTCTCGAAATGTTACCAAAATTTCCAACCATAATAATAGTTTCCATATCATTTCTACATATATCTACTACAAGAATATGCAGTTTTTAGAAAATCGATTTTTTTTGAAAAAAGATGTGGTACTAGCCCCTTAATTCCCTACACGGAGAGAAATCTGTTACGAATATCTCACAAGACTTACGCGTGCGCTTTTCTCATGAGCTTCATTTGCTAATATCGCAAAGACATGTGCGAGTTTTGCTCGGAAGCCATGAAAAATCAGCATGGATTTCTTGCAATTTACGCAAGGTTGTGTCTGTGCTATTTTCGAACGGACTGCTCATGCGTTATTAGTAACAGACTTCTCTCCGTGTATATGTTTTATAATTTTTTCAAAAATAAGTTTATATTTTGAGATTTTGTTACTTTCATATAGGACAACAATTTACCAAAGTATCAAGCCAATGCCAGAAATTAAAATAACTTAAATTCGTTTAGTAGTCAAAAAAAGTTTATTTTTTTAAATCTTACAAAAGTATCTAGCGAGTAGATACAGAAACTTGCCATACTCTAATAGTGTTATCAGAGTAACCGGCAAAAAGAGTTTGACCATCTGTAGACCAGGCCAAAGACAAGCACTGTGGAGGCTCAGCTTTACTAGTTGCGGTAACAATTTCTGGTTTTAATTCTTCGACCATTTCTTTGCTCTCGAGATCCCAGATCTTAATGTAAGGTCCAAAAGCAGCACATAACCAGTAACGATTGGGACTGAAGCATAGGGCAGTTATGATATCATTGTGATCCAAAGTGTGCAAATGCTTTCCATCATTCAAGTCCCACAACATTGCTTTGCAGTCCTTTAAAAAGAAATACGAATTAAAATAAATATTATCAATGGGAAACGTTTTTAATTTACAATAGAGATATATTACCTTTCCGCCTGATGCGCAGAGTGAACCATCTGGCGAGACTGTTACAGTATTCAAATAACCGGAATGACCATTGTGATTGATCTTCAGTCTGCAGTTAGTTAAATTCCAGACCTAGGACAAAAAGATCAATATTAAAGGAAATGAAAAGAATAAAGGGAAATTTTAATTCTAGTTGAATTAAAGTCAGTCCCATATCCGCAAGCACTCACAGAGTTCATGTTTAGTTATAGATTTGCATCATGTTTAATTATAATTTAAAGAATTATCTTTTTTTAATTTAAAAAATTGCATACCTTTACAACACGATCCCATCCAGCAGAAACGATAATTGGATTTGAATGATTTGGAGAGAAGCGTACGCAACTAACCCAATCACTGTGACCATCATCTTGAATCGTATACTTGCACTCGGCTAAAGTATTCCACAACTTAATGGTCTTGTCTCGTGATCCAGAGACAATTTGACGGTTATCGACTGAAAAAGCGACGCTCAAAACATCCTATGAAAACAAAAATTAAATGTAAAAAAAAAATATTATATCGGTCATTACAAAAATAATCATTTACAATTATGCGAATTTTAAAAAATCAATATATGAAATAACTTAATTTTAAAAAGTTCTATTCAACTACTTTATCAGAATTTTTTTTTAAATTTTCGCATCCCAATGATTATTTCAGGAATGAACTTAATTTTAAGAATAAAAATTCATATACTTACAAAAAAGGAAGAACAAAATCAGATTGTTTCTTCTATTTTTCTCAATAAAAAAAAATATATACAAAAAATGCTTCAGTTTTTGTTGACCTGTTTCTTATTTTTTTTCAGGTATGGAAGAAACGTTTCCCTCTATTAAAATAACTTTAAAATATCATTAAAAAGTTTTATTAATGTCACACCTTGGTATGATCCTCAAATCTTCTGGTTGTGCGACCAGCAGCCAAATCCCAAAGTCGCAAAGTTTTATCCCAAGAACCAGATAGAGCGTAGTTGCCATCAGAAGACAATACTACATCACTAATAAAATGTGAATGACCATAAAGACGTTTTTGCGGAATACCGTAGTTTGCTTCATCACGTGTCAATTTCCAAACAATCAATGTCTTGTCTGAAAAAGAATTAGAAATATTTAGGTATTGAGAAATAATTTTTTTTTAATTAAGGTGCTTAATGTAGTTGTCGCGGGTTCTGTAAATTGAATTAAAATACGTTTTACTTGATGAATAGAGGCGATATTAATACTACACAAAGTCTACAACATTAGTAAATTGGAGACGCATGAATAAGCTCTAAAAACAAATTTTTTAAAATTATGATTTGATAGAATCTTATTCTGTAGAATATTAATTTTACAGAATATTTGTTCGAATATTAATGTTTTAGAAAATGCAAATGATCGAAATAAAATTTAACAGAATTTTTATTTAGATGAAAATTAATTTGCCAGAAATACAATTTGATCGAAACGTTGTCTCGTAGTATATTAATTTTGCAGAATTGTAATTTAAAAGAATCTTAATTTTGCAGTATATTCATTTGCTCGAATATTAATGTTCCACAAAATTAAAATGGTCGAAAATCAATTTGCCAGAAATAATTCGGCGGGAACTTCAAATTTGACCAATAAGAAATTATCAAGAAAATTGTGATTGGTCAAATTTGAAGTTCCCGCCGAATTATTTCTGGCAAATTGATTTTTGACCATTTTAATTTTGTGGAACATTAATATTCAAGCAAATGAATATTCTGCAAAATTAATATACTACGAAACAACGTTTCGATCAAATTGAATTTCTGGCAAATTAATTTTCGTCTAAATAAAAATTCTGTTAAATTGAATTTTGAGTTCTGAGTAATTCTTTACGTGAATACAGAAAAAAAGCGTTTTTTGACCGTAAAATGAAATTTTTTTTAAGGTGTTTGGGAAATTTCTGATATACCATCTTTTTTAGTACTACTCTCTAAATCTGAATTAGTAAAAAATGTTTATTAATTTGAATTAGTGACTCACTTGTTGCTTCTCAATTAGTAAAATTCTACTAATTATTAGTAACTTTTACTAATAATTAGTAAAATTTTACTAATTCAGAAGCAAAAAGTAAGTCACTAATTCAAACTAGTAAACATTTTTACTAATTCAGATTTAGAGAGTACTAGACCCTGTGGGCAAAAAACCATGTTCATTCTAAAAACGTTTTAAGGACGTTCTTAGAACGTTTTATGTCCGCCAAATAATGTTCTGGAACATTTTAAGAACATGGATGTTCAAATAATGTTCCAGAACATTATTTGGTGGACATGAAACGTTCTAAAAACGTTCTTAAAACGTTTTTAAAACAAACATGGTTTTTTGCCCACAGGGGAACTAGAATTATAAAAAAATGTAATTACTTTTTAAAGGTATGTAGAAATTACTAATGTAGGATTTATTACTGTAGTTATTAAAAAAAAAAAAAAATGTTTAAATTTTAAATTAATGTGTAGAGTTTACTCGTGTACAATTTACAGTGAGAATTTTTTAGTTTACAGTTTTTTGTGCGGGGTTTTGGAATTATATCATTTTAGAATTTGTAATTGTAAAAAAATTTAAAAACCTGCAAAATTTATTTATTTATACAGTTTGCATAGGATAAAATTTTTTTTCTTTTATCGCTTCTACAGAATTTTTTAAAAAAATTTTCGATTTCAATGAAATATGGCTTATTTTCTTCAGAAAAAATTATTCTCTACAACTTCACCGTGGGCATTTTCGAACAAGCAAGCCGTTTGGAAAATACAACAATTTATTTAAAAAAAAAATTTGGATTTTTTTAAAATAAATAGCTATATATGCCAAACGGCTTGCTTGTTTGAAAATCCTCACGGTGAAGTTGTGGAGAATCATTTTTTCTGAAGAAAATAAGCCATATTTCATTGAAATCGAATCATTTTTAAAAAATTCTTTAGAAGCGATATAAGAAAAAAAAATTTATCCTATATGAAAATTGTATAAACAAATAAATTTTGCAGGTTTTAAATTTTTTTCTTGAAAATTGGTATCTCACCTTTCAGAAAGTACAATTAATAATGTTATTTTAATTATTTAAATGTTAATTAATTTTTTTTTCTAGAAGTCAGCATTTCTGTAGATAAACGTCCTTAAATTTAAATTAAACTTTGTAATTTACTTTTAAAATAACCAAAATATTTTATCAACTTAAATAAAATTACTTCTTTTTACTTTATAAAACATATTTATTTTTTTAATATAATACACTGAAAAAAAAATTTATTTGATTCAAATACTCGATTACTTGACTGTTATCAAATAAATATTTACTTGAACTAAATAATTTTGATTGAATTTATTTTTATTTGAATTTAAATAAATTGTATTTGAACCAATAATTTCTTTATTTCAAATAAATACCATTTAATTGATTCAAATAATAAAAATAATTCTAATTGAGTGAAAATTTTTTGCTACATAAGAAAAAGAATATTAGAAATTCCAAAATGAAGAAAATTTCATGAAAAAAAAAGGATTTTAAAATAAAACAAACGAAATTTTCAGAAAAGGAAAATTTAAGAAATTACAATGTTGAAGACAAAAATTGAAAGAAAAATAAAAAAAATTTTCGATATTCATAAAATAAAAATATAATTTTTGGAAAAAATTTAGAATTTTATTCGGTAAAATTGAAAAAACGAATTAATTTTAATAAATTCAAAAAATAAGAAAATATAAAGAAAAAGAAAAATTAGTGATTATTAAATTAGAAGAATATTTTACCATAAACAGAAATCGTAACATTTTTAATTCTTAACTAAATTAAATTAATCGGAAATTGTGCAAAAAAAAAAATTAAATTGTTATTTTACACCTCATGCAGTACACGTTAAAGGAAATAGATTGTAAGAGAATTATGAGACTCCATATTGATGGATAGCCGAGATTTTAGCGTTTGCAACAAAAATTAAAAAAGCTTTTTAACACAAAAAAATCGATTCCATATGTAAATAATTTTTAATAATTAATATCAATTTCCAGTACTAATATATATATATATATATAGCAAAAATAATAAAATTACACAAATTTTCACTGTAAAGCATAACCTCTAAAATTTTAACACGTGACAATGTATTTTCTAAAATTACTAAAGTTCAATCACTAATAACCATCAAAAATCTTATTATATTTATATAAGCAGTAAATATTATGAATTAAAATAAAAAAAAATTGATATATATAGCACAAGAGGAATGCAAAGTGTATTAATTGATAATTTTGATATCTATAAAAACTTACCACGAGAAGCCGACAAAATTAAATCCGAATATTTCGGATTTGTGGCAATTTGAGTGACCCATCCATTGTGACCACGCAATGTACCTCGTAATTGAAGAGTTTCAGTCATTTTTGAACAGTTTTGTATAAATAGATGATTGATGCAAATGGATTATTCCAATGCAATAGAACCACTCTTCACAACGTTCATTCCAGAAAAGAAGGAAATCTAAAATCTTGAGCATAAACCAACAATCTTAAGTTGATAGAAGATGGGTAACTCAATGATGTACATATCTAGTAACTTTTAAGTCACTATAATCAAGGAGCTGACGTCACAGTCCTAAGGCTGCTTTCACAATAGCTTAATCTGTAATGCTCATTCTACACTCACATAAAACGGGCGCGAGCGATCCGCTTTTCCGTAACGCTTTCTATATTTAACCATATCTATATATCTAAAAAAACGTAACGGAAAAGCGGAGGAACTCAGTAAGAGTTGAATCAGCATAAAAGCTAACGCAGAATAGAAACGTAACCCGAAGAATGAGTTAGAGAAAAATAAACAATATATCTATCCTTCTCTAATTCATTCTTTTGGTTACGATTAGGGGCCATTCATTAATTATGTAAGGACAATTTTGGCTAATTTTGACCCCCCTCCCCCTTGTTACGTAAGTTTTTAACAATATTAATGTAATTAAAAAATTAATTACAACAATATAAATGGAAAATACTTGGCAAAATCTTACGGAAGAATAGCTTCTACCCTCCCTACTCCACCCGGGGCCTAAGACCATATAGAGATTTTATGCTGATTCTACACTTACCTAAAACTGCGCGAGTAACCGTAATCGCAAAAGCAACCGGAATAATGAGTTAGAGAAGAACAAACAATATGTCTATCTTTCTCTAACTCATTCTTCCGGTTACGTTTGCGATTACGATTCCGGTTACGTTTCTATTCTGCTCATGCCTTAAGCTGTGGCAGTACTCTAATGCTGATTCTACACTCACCTGAAACTGTGCGAGCGGTCAGCATTTGCGTTACGTTTTTTATATATATAGATATAGTTAAATATGGGAAGCGTCACGGAAAAGCGGACCACTCGCTCAGTTTCAGGTGAGTGTAGAATCAGCATAAAGGCGCCGTACCATGATGCTGATTCTACACTCACCTTAAACTGAGCGAGCGGTCCGCTTTTCCGTAACACTTCCCATATTTAACTATATTTATATATATAAAAAACGTAACGCAATTGCGGACCGTTCGCACAGTTTTATGTGAGTGTAGAATCAGGATGACAGCGTGAAACGCCGGCGTAAAAGCAGAAAGCATAAGAACGAAAGAAATAGTGAGATACGTTCATCTCTTTCGTTCTAATGCTTTCCGCTTTTACGCTGACGTTTTACGCTGTCATGGGACGGCACCTTAAAGGGCCATTCATTAATTACGTAAGGGTCTTTAGAAGTAGGGGGGTTTTAATGCTGATTCTACACTCACCTGAAACTGAGCGAGCGGTCCGCTTTTCCGTGACGCTTTCCATATTTAACTATATCTATATATATATAAAAAAAACGTAACGCAAATGCTGACCGCTCGCACAGTTTTAGGTGAGTGGAGAATCAGCATTAGGCTGCAGTCCCATGGCAGCTTTTTGCGTTGCGTTTTGTCACTAGACCATGAGTGTAAAAGAGATGCAGATATATGTTTGCTATGTTTACACTCAGGATCTAGTGACAAAACGCAACGCAAAACGCTGCCATGGGACTGAAGCCTTAGAGTACTGCCGCAGCTTAAGGCATGAGCAGAATAGAAACGTAACCGGAATCGTAATCGCAAACGTAACCGGAAGAATGAGTTAGAGAAAGATAGACATATTGTTTGTTCTTCTCTATCTCATTATTTCGGTTGCTTTTGCGATTACGATTCCGGTTACGTTTCTATTTTACGTTGGCCTTCAGCTATTGGGATCGGCTAAACTGCATTACGCCATCTGGTGGGGACCCATTCTCTCCCTCCATTTTCTTTCTTTGTCTCTCTTCAATTAATAGGTTAGAAAGAGTAGAAAAAACAAAATGGAGGGAGAGAATGGGTCAAAGTTACTAGATTGTTACTAGACCACCGTTCCCAATCTAAGTATGATCGTCATGACAACGTATAAGAGTGAGAGAAATAAAGAATATTCTTATTTTTTTCACTCTTATATGTTACCATGACGACCCTACTTAGATATATCTGAGTTGTGGCCGTACCCTTATATTTGCCCCTTAAAGGTACTTGTACACTTCTATTTGTGAAAGCAGCCTTAAGCAAAAAATAATGAGAGTGAGAGGGACAGTGATATATACCAAACGGCCTACCCTGATATTTATGACATGTCAGAACTGTCAGTGTCACGTCGTATTTTGTAAACAAAAACAGTAACAAATTAAGATTATATTATGTATTTATTTTCACTTACAATATTAGTATTGCAGTTGGTTATCGCCCCTGCTTTGCAGGTAATGAAAAATAATTTTGTTTAACATATTATAGTGATCCTATTTTTTACTGTATGGACAGAAGTTCGTAAATATTGATAAATAACCTCAAAAAACATTTCCTTCGTTTATAATTAGAGACCCTTCTATTTAAGTCTGAGAACTTAGTTTTCTACTTGACAAGTCATTTAAATAATTAAATAAAATAATTTTAACTTTCTTGATTTTTTAAGAAACTTAATAGTTACTATACAAACATTTATCTAGACGAATAAATAACCTCAAAAATTTTCGTCTTTTAACTCCCCCACAGCATCGAAACTTTCTTGAAAATTTAGTAAATATTTACTTGCAATATTTGGATTATTTAGTTGCAATATTTATTGAAATTTATGTTAAATGTCCCAATTGAATAAATGTTTAGGAAAATTTCACACTAAACATTTATTTAATCGGGATTTATATTGAATAAATTTTCTGACCTGCAGCATTTCACTGTTATTTTTTATGTAAATTTTTCTCATGAATTCGAATACGAAGTCAGATATTAAGAAAATATAACAGTTTTTGAAAAATAGCTAAATTTCAATTCTTTGAGTTTCGAAAAAAAGTGGATTCACTAATTTGCAATTATCTCCGTATATAGTTGACCAATTTTAATTTTCTTTAAAGCAAATTAAATTTCCTTGAAATGGCCACGCCTCCCTCCCTTTCCAACCATCGATATATCGATATAGGCCAAAACGCAGGTTGCAAGAATTTATCAACCAAAAAGGAAGAAGCTCTTGCTATTTTAGGTAGACTATATGTCGTATTTCGCGGGCATCAATTTTATGCTTTTAAAGTACGTCACTATTACTATAAGAGTATAACCATTATACTTATTTAGTATGGACTTACTTTAAACTAAAAAAGCATTATTTCATACTTTAATAGGTAAACGAAATTGTATACTAATAAAGGATAAAGTAGTTTGGTGCTAAAATAGTTAGTTTGTTTTTTCCGTGCAGATAGCACGTAAAGGCCTGAGCAGAATAGAAATGTAACCGGAATCGTAATCGTAAACACAACCGGAAGAATAAGTTAGAGAAGGACAAACAATCTATTTATCCTTCTCTAAGTCATTCTTTCGGTTGCGTCTGCGATTACGATTCCGGTTACGTTTCTATTCTGTTTTTAAAATTTTATAAAATCATTTTAATACGTTTTCATTAACCTATTCTTACCTGGAACATTCCATGGTCATTCTAAATTTGGTTTAGAATTATGATCCCCACACAGCACATAAAATTTCCTGAATTTGTCCTGAATATTTCATTGAAAGATTCGAAATATTTCAATGAAAGGTCCATGAAATTTTGATGCAAGCAATGAAATGTCCGCCTATAAGAAATATTGCAGTTCCGATTGTACGAAAAATTTCAGCGAAATGTTCAGGAAATGTGAGGATTGAAAAATTACTGACATATTATTTTTTAATATTTGCAAAATAAAAAATGAAATATGTTACAAATTTTTAAGTGAAATATTTTAAAAAGATTATTCATTAAAATTCTAGAAATATCGAAAGGAAATATTTCTAAATTGTTAAAAATACATATTTAGGCAATATCATCCGGATATATTTGTGAAAAATAAAAAAAATGAATTACAGAAACATATTTCATTTTTTTATTTTGCAAATATTAAAAAATAATATGTCAGTAATTTTTCATCCTCACATTTCCTGAACATTTCGCTGAAATTTTTCGTACAATCGGAACTGCAATATTTCTTATAGGCGGACATTTCATTGCTTGCATCAAAATTTCATGGACCTTTTATTGAAATATTTCGAATCTTTCAATGAAATATTCAGGACAAATTCAGGAAATTTTATGTGCTGTGTGGGCGATTTGATAGAATCTTATTCTGTAGATTATTAATTTTGTAGAATATTTATTTGTTCGAATATTAATGTTTTAGAAAATGCAAATGGTCGAAAATTAATTTCACAGAATTTTTATTTAGACAAAAATTAAATTTGCCAGAAATTCAATTTGATCGAAACGTTTATTCGTAGTATATTAATTTTTGCAAAAAGAAGAATATATTGTAAGAAATTTAAAAAAATATTATGTTTCAGATTCCAGAAAATTTTTCTAATACAGGGCATTCCAATAATTGGGCAGTATTAGTAGATACATCACGTTTTTGGTTTAATTATCGTCATGTTGCCAATGTACTTTCTATATATCGTAGTGTTAAAAGATTAGGAATTCCTGATTCTCAAATAATTTTAATGATTGCTGACGATATGGCATGTAATCCAAGAAATCCAAGACCTGCAACTGTTTTTAATAATATCAAACAACATATCAATGTTTATGGAGACGATGTAGAAGTAGACTACAGAGGTTATGAAGTAACAGTTGAAAATTTTGTTCGACTTCTCACTGGACGATTATCGCCTGAAACACCGAGATCGAAAAAATTACTTACAGATGAAGGTTCAAATATACTTATTTATCTAACAGGTCATGGTGGTAATGGATTTTTAAAGTTTCAAGATTCCGAAGAAATAACTAGTCAAGAATTGAGTGATGCTTTAGAACAAATGTGGCAAAAAAGAAGATATCATGAAATTTTATTTGTTGTTGATACATGTCAAGCAAGCTCTATGTATGAGAAGTTTTATTCACCAAATATTTTAGCCGTTGCTTCTAGTCTTGTGGGAGAAGATTCTTTATCTGTAAATATTTTATTCTACCTATAACTTTTTTTACATTGTCTCATATTTATAAATTAATTTTTTTTTTTCTAATTTTTAGCACCACGTTGATCCAGCTATTGGAGTTTATATTATCGACAGATACACATATTATGCACTGGATTTTCTAGAAAAAGTAGAACCTTCAAGTTCAAAAATGCTAAGTGAATTCGTAAGTATAAAAATTCAATTTTACTTCTTAATTTAATAAATAGGAATAATTTTCCATTAAAGATTTTTGTTTTAAATTCGTTTTGAATAAAAAATAAATTGTTTGAAATTAAATTTTTATCTCTTCTACAGCTAAAAGTTTGTCCTAAACATTATTGCCTTTCCACTGTTGGCGTAAGGACAAATTTATTTAGAAGGGATCCTGCATCCGTGCCGGTCACAGATTTCTTTGGATCTCTAAGACCAGTAGAATTGACAAACAATATTGTTCATGTTATTCCTGAAAATTGCAGCCAAATAAAAAATGAAGAACCTATTAGTAAATATAAGTATATTCCATTGTTTCCAAAAATATCGTCAATTGTGAATAATGTGTAAATAATATTATTTAAATATTTATATGGTTAAATATAAGATTTTACTTAAAAATTGATTTTCTTAGATAACCCGCTTTTAAATCCCTAATACGAATGATATACATGTATGTATAAAACTGCCTAGTGGGCAAAAAACCATGTTCGTTCCAAAAACGTTTTTATAACATTTCATGTCAGCCAAAAAATGTTCTAGAACATTATTTGAACATCCATATTCTTAAAATATTACAATATTTTCAAAAATAAAAAAAATACTCGTAATAATATTTTGATTTGTCTACGTATCTAAATTCTGCATATTTTTTTTTGTTTTTGATGTAAAAAGAAAGACATCAATTGATACTTTAATAATAAAATATTAGTGTTTTTTGGGGATTGTTCAAGTATTACGTAAACATCTAAGGGGGAGGGGGGAGGGTTCCTCAGTTGCTTACGCACCATTGGGATCTGAAATACTGTGATACGCCATCTGGTGACGACACCGTTGTGTCAGCCATTTTTCGTTTCATCCTTTTTAAAATATATGTAGAAGAAAGAGATAAAAAATGAAGATGGCTGACGCAACGGGGTCAGTTTCCCCATAATTCCCTATGATTTCAAATCCCAATACAAAATTCTTATTTTTTCCATTACAATATGCTTATTTGGGGAAGGGGAGGTCCAAAACCCTTTAAAATATGCTTACATAATACTTGAATGGCCCCTTGAAAACATTGCCAATAACCTCAAATTTTTACGCTAATACAATTCAATGTATTTTTGCATTTTGATTGATTTTCATTATTTCTAACAAAACATAATTATTCATAATTCTCGTCAACTACCGCACCCTGCTCTAGTGAAAATTTAGTTACTTTTATAGTAACTTTTAATTTTAACAATAAAGTCACTAAATTTTCACTAGAACAGGGTGCGGTAGTTGACGAGAATTATGGCGAGTGGGGATAATAAAAACCAAACGCGCGCATACTTTTAAGGAGAGACCACAATAAAGATGTCTAACGTGATTTCACATCAGTCGGTAAAGTCACAGAAAGTAGAGCGATTACTACAGTGGCCCCAAATTTCCATTGCCTTATATGGGAGATTTCAGAAATTAATTATTTTCTAATTTCAAAGAGAATAATTAATTTCTGAAATCTCCCATATAAGCCAATGGAAATTTGCGGCCACTATGATAATCACTCTACTTTCTGTGATTTTACCGACGGAGGTGACGTCACGTTAGAAATCTCTACCCAAAAAGCACGTAATATAACCTCAATATCAAGGTAATATTCCATGTAAGATTCGTAATATAACGTTGTAATATTACAGTAATCTTACAGTGATCTTAAAATGTCCGCCTCAAGGTAATATTACCAGTAATGTTACTGTAATATTACGCGCTAATATTAAGGTAATATTACAGTAATATTGCAGTAATATTATACCGTAATATTAAGGTAATATTACAAGAGAATATTACAGTAATATTATTGGAACATTTCTTTACGAAAAAAATTTACCCATCCAGGGAATCGAACCCCGAACTCAAAGCACACGAGTCCAGAGTTTTACCAATAAGCCAAATTGACTTATAATATATTTACGTTTTTTATGCTTTATGAATAACTCAAATCAGTCTGTAATATTACTGTAATATTACCGTTAATATTACAGTAATATTCCCGGTAATATTACCTTGAGGCGGACATTTTAAGATCACTGTAAGATTACTGTAATATTACAGCGTTATATTACGAATCTCACGTGTAATATTACCTTGATATTGAGGATATATTACGTACTTCTTGGGTATTACGTAGTTCAACTTGAGTGGGGGAAAATTCAAGATGGACGTAAGCCAGTGCACAAATAAATATTGGAAATAAATGGGACGAAATCGAATTTTTTTTTTAATATCTCGCTTTAATTAAATTTTGGAACGTAAGTATATTAGGATTTTTATTTCTATTTTTAATGGCCTATTTAATACAATAATAAAAAAAAAAGTTTATTTTCCTTCATTAATTTTATTATTATATATAATTAAATTCGACATTAAAAATAGAAACTCAAATTCAAATATAAATTCCAAAATTTCATTTAAGCGAGATATTAAAAAAATTCGATTTCTTCTCATATATTTTTAATGTTTGTTTGTGCACTAGCTTACATTCATTTTAAATTTCCCCCCACCCAACTTGAACTATCTAATAAGCTCTGTGACAGATTTTCTTTTTATACGAATTTTTATATAACAACATTTTTAGCTACCGAACTTTTGTTTGGCAGAATTTTTTGTTTTACAGTCATATTCATTACATGACTTATTTTTATTTAAAAGAAATTTAATTTTAAGGAATTTTAATTTAACAGAATTTTTATTGAGTCGAATTTTTAAATGAAGGAAATTCCAATTCACGGAATTTTAATTTGTCCGAATTTTTATTTGTACGAAATTTTAATTGACAGAATTTTTAAAATGCTGAATTTTTATTTATCCGAAATTACAAATGGCCGCGAACAAACAATTGACAGAAAGGTTTCGACACAATTTCCAAAATTGACCAATCACGATTTTCTTGATAATTTCTAATTGGTCAATTTTTAAAATTGTGCCGAAATCCGTTTGTAATTTCGGAAAAATGAAAATTCGTACTAATAAAAATTCGGACAAATTAAAATTCAATGAATTGGAATTCCTGACATTTAAAAATTCGAATGAGATAAAATTCGATTGAATGAGAATTCTGTTGATTTAAAATTTGATTGAATTGAAATTCACTTAAATTTAAATTCTTTTAATATAAAAATTCAGGTAAAAAAATGACTGTAAAATAAAAATTCTGTCAAAAATTCGATAGCTAAAAATTTTGTTATGTAAAAATTCGTATAAAAAGAAAATCTATGAGATTTTAATTAGAAAATTGGTCTAAAAAATAATTATTTCCAATAAAATACTTTAAAATAAAAATTATAATTGATTTTTTATGGGCAATGACAAAAAGATGCGTGCGCATGAAAAGAAAAGTTATAGAAAAATCTTCAGTCACAAGCACCTTAATTGTGGAATTGCCTTTATGATTTAAGGCCTATTGGAGTTGACCGAACCTGTCATGGAGCCTGCAATATGGCTTCTAGTTGTTTGCATGCATTTACAATTAAATGATTAGGGTTTTAAGTAATAAATAGTTTACTTTTGAAAAAATTTGTATACCGGCATTATAAGATCTCTTATTATTTTGTCGAAAAATATTTTGATTTCCCTTTCTTTCTCATTTGTTAAAGTGATTTTTAAAATATAAAGACAATAAAATAAGATAAATTATGAATGAAAAGAAATGTAAATGTATAAATAAAGTACATCTCGAATAAATTTAAACGGTGAAATTTCAATTTGAGTGTAAATTATTAAATATTGGAATATTAACAATGTGTGATAGCAAGTGTGATGACAGTGTACCAGAGGGTTGTCAGGATGTTGAGAGTGAAGTTGAAGATATGTTAGAGAGAACATCCGAAGATAATGTCAGTATTCAGCAGATTTTACAAGAAATGACTAATGAATTTAATAGAGGCGTCAGTCCAAAACAATCAGTTGAAAGAGATTGTTCAAATAAACAAGAATTGCCAAGTCCTGAAAATTTTGATGTTATTCTTAAGGACGATGTAAAAATATCAAAAGCGGCAAAAAATGTGAAACTTGGAAAAATAACAAATTTAGTGAATTCTTCGGGAAAACTCACGAAGGATATTAGCGAAAAATCGGGACAAGAATTAAAAGATAATTTAAAGACAAATGAATGTAATGAAATTAAAGAGAATCAAGATGCTAAAGAAAGTTTTAAAAAAGATACAAATATTCCAAGAATTGTTCTTACATTTAGAACAATTGATGAAAATACAGATTCAGGAAAGAAGACTAAAATTTCAAGTTGTTCGTCAAATTTAACATTAGTGCCAGACGAATTAGTTAATTGTAATCAAATTGGTGGAGTTTCAGTGAAAATTGAAACATCCGAAGAATATTCGGATTGTATTGATAAATCAGATAATGAAGAGGGTAAAGTTGAAAAAACCATTGAAACTATAAATAAAAAAAATGTTGATAATGAAAAAAATGAAGAAGATATAAATGAGGGAGGGCAATCTGAACATTTGGATTCAGATCAAGTTCCTCTTGTTTATAAAATTGACGAAAATAGAGATGCAGATGTTTCATTTTCGGAACCTACTGCCGATAAAGAATTTGAAAATAATTCAACATTTATTAAAAAACAAAGGAAAAGAAGACTGAGGGTTGCTAGGTATGTTATTATTTTGAAAATTTTTATTTTCAATGTTCAATTGCAAAAAAAAAAAAAAAAAAAAGTTCTGGAATTGACTTGATACTTTGGTAAATTGTTGTCCTATATGAAAGTAACAAAATCTGAAAATATAAATTTATATATGAGACACGGTCCACGCTAAACCAATTTTTTATCGTCAACTTTGACCTCTTTGATTTGGCTCAAACTTTTTTTTATCATTTTGTACCCTCCAAAAAAGAACTTCATGATTTTTTTCAAATTTTTTCATCAAGCCGCTTACGAGATATGAATTTTTCAAAATTGGAGAATTTTAATCATTTTTTATTTCTGAATGCTCATAACTTCCTTAAAAATGTATTAATTTTAAAGGTTTTTTTTTCAAAATGTGTGCTTTTAACTCAATTTTTCAAAATTTTCATGCAAAAAATTATAAAATTAAAATTTACTATATGAAAATTAAAATTAAATTAAATTAATAAAATAATTAATTAATTTAAATTTACTATATTTTATCATAATTTAAAGGTTAAAATCTTGTTTTTAAAACTGTTTGTATCCTTCGATTTTTTTCAAAAAAAAATACTTCCTTTTACAAAAAATTTTAAGCCTAGTCCGATCGAAAGGAAACAATATTTTCAATATTTTCAAAAATTTTTTAAATTTTGGAAATTTTGAATTTTTTTAAAATATCTCCGATTTTTTTGTATATTAGGTACTTTTATGTATTTTGATGCGCTAATTACAAAAATTATAGTGACAATACCCAAAAATTTGTATGGTGAAAACCATAAAAAAATCCTAAAATTTATGGTTTTTACCATAGAAATTAAATTTTTTGGTATTGTCACCATGATTTTCGTAATCAGCGCATCAAAATACATTTTTGTGTCTCATGCTTTTTTTTAATTTTTAGTATTTTAATCGAAAATTTGATTTTTATGATGAAAACCATAAAAAAATTCTAAAATTTATGGTTTTTTTTGTTTTTTGGGTAAAAATGAAAAATTAAAAAAAAGCATAAAACATAAATAATGTATTTTGATGCGCTGTTTACGAAAAACATAGTTACAATACCCAAAAATTAGACTTTTATGGTGAAAACCATAAAAAAACCTTAAATTTTAGGACTTTTTTATGGTTTTCACCATAAAAATCTAATTTTTGAGTATTGTCACTATGATTTTCGTAATCAACGCATCAAAATACATATAATTACGTAATATACAACAAAACCGGAAATATTTTTAAATAATTCAAAATTTCTAAAATTTTAAATTTTTTTGAAAATATTGAAAATATTGTTATCTCACGATCGGACTAGGCATAAAATTGTCATAAAAGTAATTAGCTTTTTGAAATTTTTTTTGAAAAAAATCGAAGAATACAAACTATAAAACAGATTGAATCTTCAAAAATATGAAAACTAAAATTTTTTTCTTTTTATTTTCTAAAAGCTGATAAAATTTCGAAAAAAATGACACCTTGACAAAGAGAATATGTTAATTTTTCAATTAGATATCTAAGAAAACTCCAATTTTCAATGTTTTTACTATTTTTTTTATTTCTGTGGCAAAAATTAATATTTTTTTTCGCCATTGACATGAAAAAGTTTCTTTTTTGTGCCTGTTTTGGGCAGATAAAGTAGCACTTTTTAAGGCAGTTTGGGCCAACTGCCTAAAAAAGACTTTTTTAGGCAGAAAACTGCCCTATAAAGTCTTTTTTACGCAGTTGTTAATTTTTGCATAATTTTTGTTTTGCTTTTATTTTATATACTATTTCATATATATTATATATATATATATATATATATATATATATAAATTCTTTTAAAAAATAAATTTTTTTCTTTAAAATTGTTTCACTTTTTCATAACAATGGCGAAAAAAATATGGCTCGCACGTAGTAATTTTTAGGTTCGGATGATTTCAATACTCGCTGTCTGTGCGACTTTGGTTCGACTTGGCTCGCCTTCGTCTCACCTACGTCACACTAACGACAGTTCGTACTGAAAATTACATCCTCATCTAAAAAGTACTACTTTACGTGCTTGCCACATAATTAACTATTAACGTTAATTACTATTAACGTTCTTGGGTTCATTAGAATGGTATTTTGTTATAAGATTCAAATTATTTGAAACAATTCATGTCCACATTCTTCCTTAGCGTATGCAAATGACAAAAAAAGATCAGTAAAATGTGTGAATCTTAAAACTGACATAAGACAGAGAAGTTTAAGTTGATCTATTTACTTGATTTTTAAACATTATATTTTGTTGTAGAATTGAATTTTAATTTATTGACTTTTTTGGATTCAACTTTTACAATTTGCATACGCTAAAGAAGAATGTGGACATGAATTGTTTTAAATAATTTGAAAATACCAAAATACCATTCCAATGAGCCCAAGAACGTTGAAAAATATTAATTTTTGACAGAGAATTAAAAAAAATAGTAAAAACATTGAAAATTGTGTTTTTCTTAGATATCTAATTAAAAAATTAACATATTCTCTTTGTCAAGGTGTCATTTTTTTCGAAATTTTATCAGCTTTTAGAAAATAAAAAGAAAAAAATTTTAGTTTTAATATTTTTGAAGATTCAATCTGTTTTATAGTCAACGAAAAACCAGAGGTCGCAGAATTTTCGACGGTAGTGTACTTAGTTAAATTTATTTTATTATTTCTTAAAGAGCATCATAATTTTACTTTTATTGGTTTAAATTCTGATTTAAATATAATTGCAGCAGCCTTGTTTTATAATTTGTTTTAATTATGGATCAATCCATAGACTTTCGTCTGAGAGATGTTGCAATCAAATTTTTCAAAATTTAGTTTATTGCATCTGAGAGTTACGAAACAATAATAAAATGATTTTGCTAAAGTAATAATTACCATTTACAAATCAGTAATGTTTTTTGCATTTATCATTAACTCATAAACCTCAATAAAATAAATAAGCGCTGAAGAGTTAAAAGATGGAGAAAACCTTGCTAATTTGTAAATGGTAATTATTTCTTTAACAAAATCATTTTTGAAAATTACATCAATTTTAAGGAATTATTTAAAACAATATGTAATATTTCCTTTATAGTCACGTTATTGAAGGTGCACCAAGTCCAAAACGTTCTGCTCGACGTATGTGCAAGGAATCACTAAAAAGTACCGTTCTTGAAAGTGCTATAGCGCGCAAGGAAAAATCAAATTACACTGAAGAACATTTACAATTTAAACCAATAAGAAAATATAATAAACCCGGAAGACCAAAAAAAATTTTATCAACAAAAGAGGTTTCGAAACAAATTCATTCTAAAGTGACTGAAACAGACAATGAATCTGACAATAATACAGTCGAAGGAAACAATAGTTCCAATGAAATAAATTTGTCTCAGGAAAATTCTAAAAATTGGTCTATTAATGAAAGTTCCACAAGTGATTTAACTATTAATGATTCACAAAATTCTTGCACAGAATTTGATGGAATGCCTAAATTATCTCCAATATTAAAGAATACAGATTCTTCACAAACAAAATCGGGAAATTCTATTAAAAATTCAATTACTGATGACGTTGCTTCTATGTCGGATAATGATAAGCCTTTTTTGAAACCCGTTATTGGAAAAACAAAAAGAGAAAGAGGTCGTCCTAAGGGTAGTTTAGGAGCTCGGAAAATTGCTAAATCTGATTCATTTGAAGGTTTTAAATTAATTTATTATTTTTTAAGTATAATTTTTATATGTATGCAATTTTTTCTTTAATTCTTACAGATGGATCAAATGAAACTGGAAAACATCAAGATTCAGAAGGTAAGTGTTAAAAATTTATTTTTTCCAATCAGGTCATAAATAATTTTTGCATATTTTAGAGGACAGTTTTCCTGCAAAAAGAACACGACGAAGTATGGCACCGAGTCCAAGTCTAGTCGAAATACAAGGATCAAAACCCGAATCAACTGTAATTTTAAATGAGGTAAATAAAATTTTAATAAATTTTAATAATAAAATTTTAATTTTAAAATTATTTCCATGGTAAAAAAATGATTTTAGACATGCAAAAAATCAATGATGTGCTTGTGTCAAGTAAGATCACAATTGTACGTAACAGTCAGCGACAATAGTACTCCACTTTATTGTACAGCAATAGATTCGATTGACAACAAAAAAGTTGGTTGTTGTAATGAAGTTGACAATAATGATGTAACAATGCGAAGACCAAGTACTTGCGTGCCTTTTATCGTTCTATGTCGCATGCATAAGGAAAGATTATTTCGTCATAATTGTTGTCCAACTTGTGGATTATTTTGTTCACAAGGAAAATTTATACAGTGTATGAATGGACATCAATATCATCGTGATTGTGAAATTTATCTTTCTAAACAAGGTGCATGTCCACATTGTGGATGTGAAAGTCCGGATTATGATATTGTCATATCAATAAATGGATTGAGAATACCAATTTATATTCCCACTCGTAGAAAATTTTCATCATTGCCATCTGCAAAAATGACATTACCAGGAAAAGGTGATAATACAAAACTTGCTGGTAGACCACCAAGTCCATTGATTCAGCCAGAATTGATTAAAATACCAGAACCAACGACAGGTAATTCTGATAGACCTGAACGCTACACAATAATGAGTCTTTATACTTCAGTTAAAAATGGTGATTTGGAGAAATTGGTCAATGTTTTAAGTAAGTTGATTTTTCAAATATTTTATAAGTCTATGTATTATTAATTAAATTTTTATTCAAATTGCAAATGAGTATTTGCGAATTTTAAAGATTAAAAATTTTCTTTTCAGCCTGTGGTTATAATGCAAATCATACATTTCGCGACTATGCTAACCGCACAAGTTTGCATTTAGCTGCTGAAAAAGGTCAATTGGCTTGTTTACACGTTTTAATTCAAGCTGGTGGTCAAGTTGATGTCATGGATAAAAATCAATTAACACCGTTAATGTTAGCAGCATGTAAAGGAAGAGCTGATGTTGTGCGATATTTAATTAGAATTGGAGCTGATACTACATTAAAGGGTGTAGATGGCATGACAGCTTTGCACATGGCTGCTAAAAGTGGACATTTATATGTTTGTCGAATTATACTAACTGAATGCAAAGTGCCAAGAACTTTAATCGGTAAGTGAATTTAAAATAACATTTTTTTTATTTCCAAATAATTCCAAAACTATATTAAAGATATCACACATATGTGACGCTCCACGAGAGAAGGGACCTATCCCCGAAGTAACATTAGGCTCAGTTTTCCGTGCACCGTACATGAAAACTAAGCCTAATATTATTTCGGAGATAGGTCCCTTCTCTCGTGGAGCGTCATATATCATTAATTATTTGTTTTCTGTAATGATCTGCATTCAGTAATTAATCACGTTTTTTACAATTTTTAAGAGAAAAGTGGCAGATTTTATTAATCTTCGATTCTGAAGCTGTTGTAAATCGAGTAAAAAATCATTTTGGCGAATTTACTATTCTTAGTTATCCAGATCTATCAAAACCATTTTATTAACAAACAGAGACGCTAGCGATGTAGCGATAGGAGCCGTATTGTATCAAATAGACAAATCACTCACCTATAGCTTTCGCAAGCCGTACTTTAAAAAGAGCTGAACTTACATATTTCACAACAGAGAAAGAACTACTTGCTATTGTATGAAGTTTATTAAAATTTTGATCATACATTTTAGGTTGTTATATAATTATAAGAACCGATTATAAAGCGTTATCTTTCGTGAAAAGTTGTAAATTATTAAGCGCTAGAATCACAAGATGGATCTTAGCTATTCAGGATTTCAATTTCGATATTGAGTTACACCCATAAAAAAAACTAATTCAGATGAATTGAAATGAATAAACTTTTATGTCAAGGTCCAATTCGTATTTGTCGCTAAGCAAGATTCAGTGAAGCTCTTTGTATATTCAATTCAATTCGTATCAGTAAGTTTTCACCGATTGAGAATTCAAACAATATGACCAACTCGTCTATTGAATTTGTACCGACGAATTGAAAAATATTAAAGCTCAAAAGTTTGTTCATTGAATTAGTACGAATAGAGAGTTTGGAAGTTAAATAAAGCTTTATAGAATTCAGGAGAATTGCAACATAGCTCCAATTCGAAATTATTACTAAGCGGGATTCACTGAAGCCCAGGGTGTATTCATTTCAATTCAACTGAATTAGTTTTCATTTACTGGGTTAGGCAAGAATAACACCGTAGCTGATACTTTGAGTAGAGCACCAATTTTTGAAGAAACAGGCTAGATTCTCATGAAGGAAAATTATTTTTTTATAATTTGTCGTAGAAGATAATAAAAAATTATGCTTAACAATAAGTATAATTAATGATTTAATTGACGAAATACATGAAATTTGGTGAGACGTAGGTCCACTGCGAGTTTTTCGTATGTTAAATGAATATTTTTATTATCCACATTTTGCAAAAAATGATAAGGCCTAGAATATCAAGTTGTGACTTATGTCAGAGAAATAAAATTTCCAACTAAACAAATTTTTATGAAATGAAAAACTATGCACCCAAAAAATCAGGTGAAATTTTTTTTTATGGTCCATTATCAACTTCTAAGGGTGGATTTATATATTTTGACAGGAAATTCTTTTATTGAAACTTAACACTCAAATTTTGAATAAAGTTGACATTTAGGGTCCTTTTGGTTAACGATTTGATCTTGGAGATTAATGAGAAATGGAACGTATACGTTTGACGGGACCCCGCACAGTGAGAAAAACTGTAAATTTTTGTGTCAAAATCGTAGAACTTGGGACAGAATTGATACAATTTAATAAAAAAAATTGGAGATGAAAGCTGTGACTCTAGAGATTAGAGGAAAAATACGGAGAAACCTGTAAAAAAATTGTTAACCTATAAAAAAAAAATATGCAAAGTTGGAATTTTATGGTAGAAAATTGGTTTTCAATGTACTGCGAGCATAAAAACGATGAAATCTTTGTCTATGTCGACTATACTTACGTACTTTTTCATGCTGAATACGAATCCGATGCCAGAATTAGTGAAAAAAATCGAGGAATAGAAATCGACCATGTTTTTTTCATAAAAAGTCCAAATTATTTAGATTGAAACGAAACTCACTTTTTAAGTGTTTTTGGGGTCGCTGATAACGAATATGACAGCAAAAATTCAAAATGGCGGATCCAATATGGCCGACTATAATTTTTAAAATGCTTCTGTTTTAATCAAAACTTATGTTTCTTATGTTTTTGGGGTCGCTGATAACGAATATGACCTCAGAAATTCTAAAGTCAAAATGGCGGATCCAATATGGCCGACTAAAATTTTTTAAATGCTTCTGTTCTAATCAAAACTTATGTTTCTTATGTATCTTATTCTTATCTCTGTAGTTAGCCATATTAGATCCGCCATTTTAAATTTTGAATTTCTGAGGTCATATTCGTTATCAGCGACCCCAAAAACATAAGAAACATAAGTTTTGATTAAAACAGAAGCATTTTAAAAATTTTAGTCGGCCATATTGGATCCGCCATTTTGAATTTTGAATTTCTGCTGTCATTCGTTATCAGCGACCCCAAAAACACTTAAAAAGTGAGTTTCGTTTCAATCTAAATAATTTGGACTTTTTATGAAAAAAACATGGTCGATTTCTATTCCTCGATTTTTTTTCACTAATTCTGGCATCGGATTCGAATTCAGCATGAAAAAGTACGTAAGTATAGTCGACATAGACAAAGATTTCATCGTTTTTATGCTCGCAGTACATTGAAAACCAATTTTCTACCATAAAATTCCAACTTTGCATATTTTTTTTATAGGTTAACAATTTTTTTACAGGTTTCTCCGTATTTTTCCTCTAATCTCTAGAGTCACAGCTTTCATCTCCAATTTTTTTTATTAAATTGTATCAACTCTGTCCCAAGTTCTACGATTTTGACACAAAAATTTACAGTTTTCCTCACTGTGCCCCGTAAAACGTCGTACTTGTCGGGCACATGGCACTCTTGAATCGATCGTTAATATCAATAGACGTAAAATTATATATTTTTGAATGTGAGTGAGTGTTTCGTACATTCTGTCGACTTAGGAAGATTTTACTTTGATAAATTATGGAAAATAAAATCTACCTAGTTGTCAATTGTAAGTAGATCTTACAGAAAATTAAAGGGCATTAAAATAAGCTGCAACGCTTATTATTTTAATAAAATTTTGCTTATTTTAATCCATTTTGGTATTAAAATAAGCAAAATTGGATTAAAATAAGAAGCGTTGCAGCTTATTTTAATACCTTATAATTTTCTGTGCTATTATTGATTCAATCGACTGATTGAATTCGCTTATTTAATTATTTTAGGTTCTCCCATTTCTCCCACCCTGTAATTATATTTCTCTTGCTCTAATCTGAATATAATTAATATATTATGAAGAATTTGATATTCAGTAGTTTCTTTTTTTTATATCAGTTCTGGAAAACCGTTCTTTTATGAAACTGCGTGTTTTATACCAATTTAAAACACATTTTTAAATTCTGTTATAACGTCAAAATAAATAAATAAATAAACTTGTGAAATTTATCACATACGTTTTTATTTTATAGATTCTGTTGATGATGGAGGTTGGACTAGTTTAATTTGGGCTTGCGAATTTCGACACACTGCTGTTGCGCGTTTTTTGATTGAACAAAAATGTGATCCTTTAATTAGAGACGCAGAACAAAACATTGCTCTACATTGGAGTGCATTTAGCGGAAGTTCTGAAATCACAGAATTACTATTAAATGAAGGCTGTGATGTAAATGCTGTGAACGTTCATGGCGATACTCCTTTGTAATATAAATAAAAAAATCTCTTAAATTTCATTTTAATATTTCTCGAAATATAATTTGAATATTTATTTATCTAGGCATATTGCTGCAAGACAAGATCAGTATGCAGTTAGTATATTATTATTGGCTCGAGGTGCAAAAATTGTTGAAGTTAATAGTGCTGGTGAAACGGCAATAAATTGTTGTTCATCTGATGGTGATACTTTAGCTGCATTAAAATTGAATGCAAAAGTAAATGAACTCTCAGAACATATGTGGGAGAAGACTGTTAAAATTTTATGCAAGTAAGTTATAGGATTTCTTTTATTGCAACATTGGGGTTTTTTATTTTTCTTAACAGTTGAATTTTATTTTAGTGATATTTCCCGTGGTAAGGAAACTAATCCAATTCAATGTGTAAATGGATATGATTCGGAGGATAAGCCAACTGACTTTTTATACGTGACAGAAAATTGTTTTACAAGTAATATAAATGTAGATCGAACAATAACGTCCTTACAGTCATGTCGCTGTGAAAATAATTGCAGTACAGAAAAATGTTTATGTGGTACTATTAGTTTAAGATGTTGGTATGACGAAGAGGGAAAACTCCTTCCTGAATTCAATTATGCTGGTAATGTAAATTGTTTTAATATATTAAAATATAAAAACGATAATAACATTGTGAATAAAATTTTTTTTTAGATCCTCCAATGTTATTCGAATGTAATCCATCATGTGATTGTAACAAAATCACTTGTATTAATCGCGTTGTTCAACATGGCACGACTCAGAGATTTCAATTGTTTCGAACAAAAGAAAAAGGATGGGGACTACGAACTCTTAAACACATTCCAAAAGGTACTTACGTTTGTGAATATGTTGGAGAAATCATCTCTGATTCAGAAGCTGATCACAGGGAAGATGATTCGTATCTGTTTGATTTGGACAACAGGGTAAGTGTGAAATTTTGAATTCTTGTAAAACATAATTTTATTCTTAAATCCTGGTTTATTTTCACATTTGCAAAATCGTTAAATTAAATTCTAATAATAGAAGTTTAACATTTTGAATTAATAGGATGGAGAAACTTATTGCATCGATGCTAGACGATACGGCAATGTAGCTCGTTTTATCAATCATTCTTGTGCTCCAAATTTACTGCCCGTTCGACTATTTGTTGAACATCAGGATTTACATTTTCCACGAATAGCATTTTTTGCAAATCAAAATATTGAAGCGGATGAGGAACTAGGGTAATAATAAATTTTTCTTCTCGAAATTAGTTAAACATTTTTTTTTTATTAAAAAAAAACAAAAGATAAAGCGAATAAAAACAAAATCTTAATTCTATATGAAAAAATAATCTATTTTCATTAACTGAAAATACAATTATTTAAAGTATAATTATTTTAATTTGCTTTTTTTTTAGATTTGATTATGGTGAAAAATTCTGGATAATCAAATGCAAATCTTTTACATGTACCTGTGGTGCTGAATCCTGTCGATATTCAAAAAAAACCATACAAGCAACCCTTGATAATTATCGTAGAAGGATTCAGCAAGAGGAAATGCTTATTACTCAAACATCTTTAGAATAGATTTCCTAAAACATTATTTATAAAAAAAAAAAAACATGGAGTACAAAAAGCACAGTAACCCAAAAATGGGTTTCTTTAATATTAGTAAATGTTGATTGTAAATATCATAAACGGCCAAAGGCTATAATTAAGTTATATGACGTACTTGCGTGAATTTCACATTTTACATTATTGTTATGAATATTATTTCAGTACGTTTCAAATTTATTGATTTGATATTTAATGTCCACTATGTTGAAAATATATATATATTAATTTTTAATATTACTAAATATTAAAGTGTAAAGTGTAAACAAATTTTTTTTTTAGATCAAAAATAACATTTTTTTTTTATTTCTAATAAATAAATATTATGCTGATATTTATTTTTTACAATTAAAACATTATTTTGTTTCTTTATTTTATGTTAAAAATAAATTTACAAATAACAATGAAATCTATATTATTGGGATGTGGTAATTTTTTTTTAGTAAATAAGTAGGTAAACAAACAATTATACGACGCATTGTAAATTGTTATTTAAAATTGATATTATTGTTTTTCTTTATCTAAATTTTCGTGTAAAAATATTTGAATAAGGAAAAAAATTGTATTAAAAAAAACTTTTTTTTTAGTATTTACTTTGCATGATATTTCCCATTTACTGATTACAAGATTTTTACTTTTATAAATCCTTCCTTTTTATAAATCAATTATAATATAATTATAAATCAATGAATTTGATTGTTTGCTCTGATTATGTTCATCTTACAACGAACAATTTTACAGTGGAGGTGGTGATGGTGGTGGTGGTGGTGATGGTGGTGGTGGTGGTGGAACATCATTATTTTTCTTTGGTTCTTCCTCAGGTAATGGAGGATTAATTAGTTTTAATTTTTCTAAAATTATCGCTTCTCTTTCCCTTTTTAAGCGGCGATATTCTTCTAACGGTAACCAAGATTCTCCATTAAGAAACTTAATCTTTTTTAATTTTTTATTAAATCCTTTTCTCTGTGTACTAGTGTATTTTCTTTTTAGCGCCGGAATATGTTCTGACACTGAAAATCAAAAATAAAATCTGTTAGTCTTTGTCACTATCAATCAAGTTTATTTCAAAGGGTTCATAGTATTAAGTGAATGATTTTCTTAATATTAGGAAATTTAATTTGAATTTTAATATCCTTATTATTAATTTAATTATTTAATTAGAAGGTTTCGTATGAATAAAACGATAACATTCGGACCATTGTTGTTTTAATAAAGGTTTACTCCAACGTTTCGAAATCTAAATGATTTCCTCTTCAGGGAGTCTATCAAAATTACAATAAATTGTCAAATAAATAAATACAAAAAATAATTTAAAAAAAAATAATTAAAATAAATACAGTGAAACATCAAAAATAAATATAGTCAATGATAAATTAAATACAATAATAATAATGAAAATAGAAATAAAAACAAATACAATAAAAATAAGAATAAACACAATAGATAGTAAAAAATAAATAAAATAACAATAATAAGCAATAAATTAAATACAATCAATTTAAAATAATCTTACCAAATAAGAAACATATGTCAAGTCATAGAAATAATGGTCAATTGCGGTGTCAAATTAATAAAAACAAAACCACCCTAACGTTGGAGAAAAACATAGAGTTTGGAGTTCAAATCTAAAATTGAATGAATCAAATTCACTATAAATTAAAAATTATATAAAGAATAAATTAATAATTTAAAATTCGAAAATTAAAATAATAGATTACATACCAATCAATCCATTTTTTAAAAACAAGTAATAACTGAACAGACACATTATAAATAAAACATATGATAAATAAATAAATAAATCACACAATCTATAAATAAACAATATAAAAAGAAATAAATAAAATAAAATATTATGTGTTCTGTTCCCAACGTCAACTTTAAAACTGATCTCCAAACACTATCGACTCTTTACAATAAATTATCAATTGAACAAAACGAAAATAAAAACAAAAACAATTGTATAAGAAATAGAGAATAACGAAAATGAGCAATTTTTCATTTTAAATTGTTAGAAATAAAATTCAAAATTATTTCATACGACTTATCAAAATTTTCCAAGTCTGTCATTTTATTTAAGCTATTTTTTCCTTCTTTTTTAATAAAACACATTTCAGCAAATAATCGCTTTTTTAGATTTGATTCAACATGCAATATCTCAAATTCATCCCATTTTATAAAGTGTGAAAAAGTGTCATTTTTGCAACTCGTTAAGTGATCACTGATAACATTATGATATTTTTCATTTAATTCAATATTTTTCATATGTTCTAATCTACGAATATGTAAAGGTCTTTTTGTTTGACCAACATATGTTTTTCCACAACTACAATCCAACTTATAAACACAATCACATTGATTTAATCCATCAAGTTTATCTTTTCCGAGTTTAATAAAATGATCAAGTTTTGAATTTACATTAAAAATAGTTTTAATATTTAATTTTTTAAGTAATCTTTTAATATTTTCTGATATTCGTCCATAATACGTAAATACTACACTTTTTTCTTCCTTACTGATATTGTCAACATCATTATTATTTAATTTAAATAAATTTTTGTTTTTAATTTCTAAGATTCGCTTTTTGTAACATGTTTTTTGATGAATTCATCTGGATAATTATTTAATCTTAAAATTTTTGTGACTAAATTAATTATTATATAAAATTAATTATTTAATATTATTTTATCTGTAAATTATATTTAAAATTTCCCTCCATTTATTTAAATTATTAATTATTTTAAACCTCTTTTATCAAGAATCAATTTCTGCAGCGATGCTTATCAGTACTCGCATTTGCCTAGAGCAGTTTTCTAGAGAAAGGGAAAACTGCAGAAAACCCATTCCTGAATACCTACTAATTTTATTTATAATTATTAATTATTCTTATGTTTATTTCCAATTTATATTCCTCAAATTAATACATATATATGTATAATAACAAATATACAGGGTGATTTTTATATTCCGGACCCCCTAAAATTTTTTTTAATCTCATTTTTTTAAAAAGTGGAATTAAAAAAAAATTAGGGGGTCCGGAACATAAAAATCTTTTAATTTTAAGTCAATTAATTCTTTTCTCAACTTCTTGCAATTAATTATCTCTAATTTATCTTTTTTTATTAAATATACAATCTTTTAATTCTATTTCATTATTTCAAATAAAGTATATATACAAGGCGAGTTTACATATTTTACTTCGGCCCTGTTGCAATCAAGAAATTTTGAAGTTATACTAGGGCGACTTAATATTTAATTCGTCCCTGAGTAACGCTATACCTAACGTTGTGTTCAGGCCTTAAAATACGACCACGTGGATTTCATAAAAACATTTCATATAAACAAACAAAATATTGACATTCATTACAAAATGAACGCTTCTATTTTGTCAAAGGATCAACAGAAACGAGTAATATCAGTCAAAAAGAAAGGGCCATCAAAGGGTTTACGTAATGTTCTTGCTCAACCGTTTAATAATTATTGGTAAGAATAAAATATATATTGAAAATAATTTATAATTTTTTGTTAAAATTATATAATAAATTAATCTCGAAATAAGTTAACGGTCAAGAGTGAGACATTCTTTGAAAAAAGCCACCAAAAAAAAATTTTTTTTTTGTCAATGAAATATGTTAAAAGTATATATATATATACATAAAAACAAGTATATATAAGGTAGGTTTATAGGTCTGTGTAAAGGAGGTTCTACAATAGATGCAAGTCCAAGTCCAAGTACAAGTACTAGTGCAAATTTATTGTACTTGGATGCGCGCGCAACGTACTGCCAACTGTCGCTGAGGCGCAGTTGAAAATACTGGATTCAATTTTTAATTATAAATTAAATAAATTAAATATAATTGCTGCCATTGCTGGTTGCATTTAATTAAGTGAGGTAAGTAATCTTAAAAAAATAAATAATATTATTTTGAAAATAAAAAAATTGTGTGTTATGTGTACATAACCTATATGCAGTTTTAAAACATTGAAAGTAATTTTACATTTTTCACAGCGTAATAAAATTGTAATTGTTTAATTAATTAATTAACTAATTAATTTAATTAATTAATTAACTAATTAATTTAATTAATTTAATTGATTAATTAATTAATTAAACAATTACAATTTTATTACGCTGTGAAAAATGTAAACTAATTAATTAAACAATTACAATTTTATTACGCTGTGAAAAATGTAAAATTACTTTCAATGTTTTAAAACTGCATATAGGTTATATACACATAACCCACAATTTTTTTATTTTCAAAATAATATTATTTATTTTTTTAAGATTACTTACCTCACTTAATTAAATGCAACCAGCAATGGCAGCAATTATATTTAATTTATTTAATTTATAATTAAAAATTGAATCCAGTATTTTCTACTGTGCCTCAGTAACAGTTGGCAATACGTTGCGCGCGCATCCAAGCACAATAAATTTGCACTTGTACTTGTACTTGGACTTGGTCTTGCATCTATTGTAGAACCTCCTTAATGCGTAGTTGCCACTGTTCTCAGGGGATAAATTTTTTTTTTGCAACATAATTTTCAAATGGTTACCCAGATCAAATGGATTTAAAAATTTTACCAACATTTTTTGCAGGAGAATTTCCTAAACTTTCAAATGAAATTATTGATTTTTTTCAAAAAATATAGTTTTTGAAAAAATCGTCCGCCATATTGGATCCGCCATTTTGAATTTTTAAAAACTGACATCGGATTCGTGATCAGCAACCTTGAAAACCCCCCGAATAACAAGTTTTGAGCCTATTTTATAAATTTAAAATCTTTTGTTAAATAATTTTTTTTAAAAACATTTTGCCAGTTTTTATTTAGAACAAACAAAAATCACAATTTTTATTAAATATTTAAAAACGTAATAATTTATTATGAAACATTCTTTACAATATCGTAAACTTTTTTTCAATTGTTAAAAATATGTTATTAAAAAATTAAAAAATAATAAAATATTTATTTATTAACTTTTTAATAACATATTTTTAACAATTGAAAAAATTTTAGGATTGTAGAAAATGTTTTATTGAATATAAAATAATTAATATTTATAACAAAAATTCGGATTTTATCTAAAACTAAAAGAAAATAATCAAAATATTTTTAAAAAAAAATGATTATTTTTAACAAAAGATTTTAACTCAACATAATTTTTTCTGAAAATTTAATCTTTGAAAATTGTTTAAAATGAATTTAAGTTTTAATTGTAAAACTATTTTTCAGTTTCGAGCTTATATTCGCCTCCTTAAACTTTAGATTAAAAAATTTTCTTTTCGAATTTTTTAAATTAAATTAATTTAAAATTATAATAATTAATAGAAATATTAAATATAATAAATATTTATTCATAATAATAAAATATTTATTAACTTATTTAATTATTTATTTATAAAAACAGTTTTAATTGAATTTATTAAGAATTAAATGTATATAATATATAATTTTTTAAAATTTTGATTCATTGAAACGTTTTATCAATTTTTTTTGGTTAATTACTTTAGAAACAATTTGCAGTAGTTTCATTATTTTAATCACTAAAACTGTTTTTAAACCTCTATACTTACAATATTGCTAAGCGACCGTAACGTTGCTAGGTAACAGTAAGCAAAACAATCTTGTAAAACTTAGTATACTATTGACATTTTTTTCTTCACATTGAATTGAATTTTACAAGTGAAAAGTAAATGTTTAAAAATAATCTAAACTCAAAAGATTAATTATTCAATATAATGTCGGACGAAGTGAAACCAGAAGTAATTAAAAAGACTCAAGATTTGCTTGGAAAATATTTTAAAAAACCTCCACTCACTGAAAAATTATTGAAAAAACCTCCATTTCGATTTATTCAAGACATTGTTGCTGCAGTAATTAAGGAAACAGGTTTTCTCGAAGGTTTATTTATTAATGAAGAATTAAGTGCAAATATTTCCAAAGATAAAGAAGCAAAACTTGCTTTTTTAACAAAACTTATTGATATTATTAAATTAATAACAGGTCTTAATCTAACAGTACGTGCAACAAAAATTATCTCCGGTCATGAACCAACAAAAACAAATGAACTATTGCAGGCAATTGGAAAAGCATTAGATAAAAAAATTAGCAGTAAAGAAGCAATTCTTCATTACAAAAATCGTAATGAAAAACAAGATGGTAAAAATTCGTTAAAAAAAGAACGAAATGTTAAAAAATCAATTACTGGTACTTCATCGTCAGTAAATCAGAAAAATGTAAAAAAAGATATAAGAGAAAATGATGGGAGAAAATTAAAAAAATCTAAACCACAGGAAGAAAAAATTGATGAAAAAAAAGTAAAATCAAAAGATAAAATTGAAACTTCCTCGCAGAAAGTTAGTAAAATTGAACAGAATTTGAATCAAACTCCTTTGGAAAAAACATCCGATGTTGTAATAAATCCACCTTCTGAAAAAATTCCCACAGAAAAGCCAATTGATGTTCCAATAAGTCGACCACCTTCGGTAAAAGAATCTCAAGATATTAAAAATCCTACAAATGAAGATATCAAACCACAAATAGTTCGTCAAAAGAGTATAATTTTAAACACTGAAAATGTAATTGATAAAGATTTACCAAAAATTTTAGATACTCTCAATAATACACAATCTAATGAGGAAAAAGATGGTGAAAATTATATGGAAGCACAAAAGAAAAATGAAAATAAAATTAATTTACCAACACGTGAAAGTACATTTTCAGCAAAAAGTCGCAATTGGATAGATGCAGGAAGCAATCCAATAAATACTTTTAATATTATCGTTGAAAATCAAGAAAAAGAAGAGGAAGCAGAAAATGATATGGTCGTTGTTGAAACTAATAAAGAAAATTTATTTAAATCCTATCAAGATAATGATAATAATAATGTAACGGAAGATCATGGATATCTTGTTGCACAAATTTTAAAAACAGAACAAGAATTAGTTAATACAAATAATATTGATCCTATTAATAAAAAAGTGGAAATTGTATGGCAAACAGGAGTTTTAAAAGAACGAGAATCAGCTGTAAAAGCAGTTGGTAATTTGAGAAATTTAATTCAAACATTAATTAAATATACAAATCCTTTGGGTAAAGTATTGGATTATTTACAAGGCGATATGGAAATTACATTGAAAGAATTAATGGATTATAGAAAACAATATGCGTCGGTTAATGAATTACTTGAAGAAGAGCGTATGCAGACGGAAAAATTTATGAATCATATGGAAGAATCATTGAATGATATTAAAATGCATGTTTTTAATGAACAGAATAAAATTCATCAAATTAAAATTAATATTTCAAAAAATGAACATCAAATTCAACGTTTATTAAATGATAGTGCCTAAAAAATTTTGTTGAAACAGTGTGTGATATATATTTTTTTTAATTTTATAAATACAGTCAAATCTCGAAACTGAGATTTTAGAAAATTTCGCATTTCTCAATATTCGTAAATGGAAGTTAACATCTTTTGTGTAATTACAAGTAAGATACATTACAAAAATATTTATTTATTTTTTTCATATTATGAGTGTTTCACTCAAATTTCATTATTTAATTTAAAAGAATGATTAAAAATAAATTTTTCTTCTATTATTTTTGTCTAAACATTATTTTCAGTTTATTTTAATTAATATTTACAGGCCTCGGATTACACGACTTTTTTCGACTTATTTTAATAAAATGCGACTATTTCGACTTTTTTTTACATTTTTAAAAAAGTTTTTTAAATAAAATATATTTTTTTTAGTATAAAATGCAGATCTTCTTCAGATCTCATTTATTTCAATTATTTAACAAATTTTTAACTAAAATTCTTCACTAAATTAATTATTTTTAATAATTTTAATGAAATTCATCACAAATTCAATTATTTCAAATTATTTTTCAATTAAAATTTTTATGAAATTTAACAATTGTTTATAATTTTAAAAAAATATCAAATAAAAATATCAAAAATTTTTAATTCAAAATAATAAATCAATTAAAAATCAAATAAAATTTAATTATTTTCAAAAATTTCAATTCAAAATCAACTAAAATTTAATTATTACCCAAAATTTCAATTCAAAATCAAAGAAAATTTAATTATTTTCAAAATTTTCAATTCAAAATCTTTTAAAATTCCATTATTTTCCAAATTTTCAATTTAAAATCAAATGAAATTCAATTATTACCAAAAATTTCAATTCAAAATCAACTAAAATTCAATTATTACCCAAAATTTCAATTCAAAATCAAAGAAAATTTAATTATTTTCAAAATTTTCAATTTAAAATCTTTTAAAATTCAATTATTTTCCAAATTTTCAATTTAAAATCAAATAAAATTCAATTATTTTCCAAATTTTCAATTTAAAATCAAATAAAATTCAATTATTACCCAAAATTTCAATTCAAAATCAATTAAAATTCAATAATTATCCAAAATTTTAATTATAATTCAATGATTTTCAAAAATTTGAAATTAAAAAGCTTCTAAAATTTAATTATTTCTAAAATTTTCCATCGAAATTTTTTTTTTGAAATTTAATAATTTCAATTATAACTCTAAGGAAATTAAATTATTTTTAACTATTTTTATAATATTCTTTGAAAATTCAACTATCTGAAACCATTTTTCAAATTATTATATTTTTGTCCGCAATTTATAATAAATTTTTTAGTGAAATCATCAAAAAAATTTTAATTAAAAATCACTTGAAGTTCAATTAATTTTTAAAAAATTTCAATTGCAAATCTTTGAAAATTCAATTACATTTAAAAAATATTTTCCAAAAATTGTTTGATAAATTATTTTTAGTTCTGTAAAATTTAATTATTGTCTGAAAATTAACAAAATCTTTTAAAATTCAATTATTTCTAAAAAATTTCAACTTTAACTATTTCAAAAGTATTATTATTTAAAAAAAAAATTATTTAAAAATCTGTAAAATATTTTTGTTAAAATAAAAAAAATCGACTTTTTCGACTTTTTTTGGAATATAAATCGACTAAAGCGACTTTTTTTTGTGCCTTTAAGTCGATCCGAGGCCTGTATTTATTATTCTATTACATTTAAAATATTTACTGATAATTATTGATATACTTTGTAATAATATATATAGTAAAGAAATTAAACTTTTGTTTCTATTTTATAATTTACAATTTGTTAATAGAAATAAAATATTTAAATTAAATTTAAAATTTAAAACATCGATTTCTTCTCTAGTTATTTTATACAAAATAAAATTTTAAATAAAATAATTTATTAAATTAAAAATAAAATACTTATTACTTTTTTTTTGGTTCAAATTGTAGATATTTCAAAATTCAATTTATTAGAAAATTTAAATCTAAAAAGTCTGCAAAATTAATTATTTTCAATAATTTTAATGAAAATTTTCGAAAATTTAATTATTTAAAACATTTTTCAATTGAAAATGCTCTATTCAATAATTGCCCAAAATTCTTGCAAAAAAGTTCAGAAATTAAAATTTACAAAATTTTCAATACAAAATCTGAAATTTGATTTTGTTGCAAAAATCTGAACTGTAGTTTCTCTAAAAATCAATTATTTTTTAAATATCTAAAATTCTTTGTCAAATTTATTATTTTAAATAATTAAAAAAAAAAAATGTTAAAAAATATTTTATTAAAATTGAATTATTTAAAAGATTTTATTTAATATGAAATTTATTTAAAATTATAAATTTAAATATTATTTATTTAAAATATTTAATTAAACAAATTTTCAATTATTGTCCGTAATTTGTAAAAAAAAAAAAAAAAATCTTTAGCAATTCAATTTTACAAAAATTTCAATTTAAAATCCCTTGAAATTCAATTATTTTTAAAAATCTTAAATATGTAATTTCAAAACTCAATTATATTTAAGATAATTTAAAATTCTTCTCTAAATTAATAATTTTCAATAATATTAATCAATTGTTTTAATTCTAATATTTTTTTTATCTAGTTCATCTGAAAATTAGTCAAATAAAAATTTAGTTGAATAAAAATTTCTTCAAAAGAAAATTTCCCATCAAATTAAAATTCGTTAAAAATTCAAATTCTGTGAAATAATGATTTGGTTAAATTAAAAATTGAAATTTTAATTAAAATTTATTTTTAAAACTGTTCGTATAAATCAGTTTTTTTAAAAAAATTTTTCTAAAAATCTACTTCCTCTTTTCAAAAATTTTAAGCCTCGTAAAAAAATAGTCTTAAAATTAAATTAAATCGGTGGGTGGTAGGTACAAAAAAAATTTTTTTTTCTCTGATTTTCTTCGAATTTTTATCAAATTTTCGTTGTTCAATTACACTCCCGAAGAGTCTGCTTAGGTGGCACTACAGTGTAATAAAAAAAAATTATTTAAACATTAATTAAATTTAATTTATTTAAAAATCTTTATCTATCAATCTAATGTTCATTATTTTTATAGGCCAGTTCTCAATAACGAACAAGTTGGACCCTTCGAACAGATTTTAAAGAAGTAAGTTTCTAAATACATATTTTATTGCATGAGATTTTTAATTTTTTTGTTTTTGTTTTTCATGTTTTTTGAAAAACTTAAATTTAGCAGAATTTTCAATGAACTGAATTTTTATTTGTCCAAAATTTTATTTATTCGAATTTATATTAAAATTCTTAAAATGCTAAATTTTTATTTGCCCGAAATCGCAAATGATCGAAAAACAATTGACAGTAAGATTTCGGCGCGAATTTAAAAATTAACCAATCAGAAATTATCAAGAAAATTTTGAATGGTTAATTTTTAAATTCGCGCCGAAATTTTTCTGTCGATTGGTCTATTCGTCAATTTGCAATTTAGAACAAATGGAAATTTGGCATTTTAAGAATTAAAAAAAAAAATTAAATTAAAAAATCCGAATAAAAATTCGGACAATTGAAGGTTCAGAGAATGAAAAATTCTGTAAAATAAAAATTTTGTTAAATAAAAATTCATTATCTAAAAATTTTGTTAAATTTCTTAGTTGAGTAAATATTAAAGATTAATAAATATTCACAGATCATTATCTTTTCTACATCAACCAAAGAAATCTATTCCTTGGACACAATTACGGAAAATGAGTCGAGAAGAACGTTTAGCAATAAAAAAATCAAAATTAGAAAATAAAGAAATTTCCCCTTTAAGCTTGTTATTTGTCAGTGGAATTAATGCTGTTACACGAGGATTGGAAAAAAAATGTTTGAGTTCTGTATTACTTGATTCCCATGTTGAACCAATTTTAATTAAGCATATTGTCATAATGTGTGAGAATGATAATATTCCAATTATTTTAGTACCTGGTTTGAAAATTATTTCTTTGGAAACAATAGGATTTAAAACTGCTGCATTTGCAATTAAGGTATACTATTTTTTAAGTTCTTTAAATTTAATTTAAGGAGGTTATAGGGATAATAGATCTGATATTACCAATTTAATGAAACTTGGTCCACTACTAGATAAAGGTTTCAAAAAAATGTTGTTAAATTTTTGAGACCTCTAGGTACTTGTGAAAAAAGTTATGAGTGTTTTTGTTTTTTAACATTTAACATTGAGTCTTATGGGAATTGAGTACTTTCTCATACATATTTGTTCACCACAAATTACCTGATATTAAGAAATTGATGAAACTTTTTTTAATACAAAACAGATATATAATGATTAAATATCCGTTTAAAAAAGGGTCATTAGGTTCTTGTGAGAGTTGCAATAAATTAATTTGTAACAATATTTCACGTTTTATACGTTAAATTGAACAGCTGTCAGAACGTCTGGCAACGTTGCACACTTGATCATGCATATTATACGTTAATTTTGCGCGCTAAATTTTAAAATGTTGATTCTGATAGCACGTATAAAATACGTTATATTTAAAAAGAAAATAAAAGTTAATAAATAAAATTGATTATACATTTTTAAAATTAAATTAAAGTTAATTAAATAGAGGGATAATTGTTTTATTAAAGTAAACAAGTCATAAAGCAACCATTTGCAACTCGACTGACGTAATGTGGTGTTGCCAGACGTTTCACAGTACCGAGAAAGTCAAATCATAAAATAATGGTTTCTGTTTTGATTTATTCAGTCAATCCCTATAACCTCCTTAATATAAACTTCTTTCAATTTTAATTTTCTAGAGTGAAGCTCAAAAGTCAAAGAATGAGAATCTCAGTTGTCTACATAAAAAAATATTTGAATTATCCAGTGAATTTGAACAACTAAAATTATCCAATCCTCTACCTTTAGAAGTGATTTCTACATGTGAGAAAACTGCAGGAGAGATTTCTGCAGATTTTCCAAAAAAAATTGATACTCCAGTTACAGTATTAACAAACATTTATTTGCATAGATCTTCAAATGAAGAAAGAGTTTTTATTCCCGAAGAAGAGAATAAAGATTGTTCTCTTTCTTTCAATAAATGGACCGACTATATACCATTAGGAAATGATGAAGATTCGGAACCAAAAAAATTGTGTAATAAACGATATACCACATCGAATGCTGTTTATATACCTGTTAAAATGAAACGAATGCAAGGGAATAATAATAGAATAAAAGCAACGAAAGCTCAAAACTAAATATTAAGTTTTTGTTTCTAAATAAATTAAATATTCGAAAATAATATTCATTTATAAGTTTGTTACGTATTATAATACAAATAAAATTTTAATACCAATAAAAATTATAATTATTCTTTTAATTTTTGAGTCTAGATTTTTTATCTAATAACTTGGGAATACCTTTTTTTGAATTAAAATAATAGGATTCAATTTGGAATTTACTAAAATAAAAGAAATAATTGTTCACTAAATGTACAATTTATTCTTTTGGAATTTTCATTTGTGAAATAGAGTATTTTTATTAGTGTGTCAAATAAAATTTTCAATTAAATTATCAAGACTTACTTTTTATTTGATTCTTTCCTAATTTTGTTCAATATGAAATTAATCCTCGGTTGAATTTATGATTTGAAAATTAATACGGAATTGAATTTTAATACGGGATTGGAATTTTGATGCGATTCTTGAAAAAGTTGTTTTTAAAGAATTTGATTTTAACTAAAACTTTTTAAGAACAATTGAATAACAAAATTTGAATTTGGAGAAAAGAATTAACTTGGAGTGTTGGAAAATAACTTGAATACAAAACTTGGGAGCAATTTCAATTAAAACATGGAATTCACTTAACTGTTTTTACGGGAATCCTAGTTTTTAATATAGTTAGTCCCCCACTACAATTTTGAAATGTTTGGGGGAAAATTTTTAAGGGAAATGGAAAAGAGGGTTTGAGAAAACTTATAATTGGATTTTTCAAAAGAAAATGGTTAGAGAAAAGAAAGAAAAACAGAGAAAAACTCATTATAGGGTACGATTTTTATTGGTTCTTTGACCCAATCCTCCAGACAGGTTGAAACTATTGTGCTCAATTGTTGCGTTCAATGTAGGCAATTCCTATGCTTTAATTTTGGGCAATATATTTTTTTCAATATAAATATTGAATACAAAAATCCTTAATGAGTTTTTAAGCTGTCTGGCACCAGGGCCTTGTTGGTGTGAAGGAACAATAGCTTTTATTAGACTGATTTTTGTTAAGAAAATTTTATATTATGTTATAAAGATCAAATTAAAAGTCTTGATAATTTACAGTCAATAATCTTGTATAAATATTTACTATATGCTATAAGAATTAGACTTTGAGAAGAATTCAAAATATAAATACCAAGATATTATCACAAAAAAGAAAAATGAATAGGGAAAAATGTACTAGCGTCATTTGGGGTAAATATAAATATTATGTTTGAGATTAATTTAAAGATTTAAAATTAAGTACGACGACAATAATTTTGAATTCAACTGTAAGAGATTCTGCGAGTATTAGTAATATATTTTATTTTGACAATTGACAATAACGTACTCCAAGTTATTTCTTAAAATTTGTTTGCCATAGAAAACTAATTTTTCTAAATTATCGTCATATTACCACTTATATGAATTTTGAATAGAATTTTGTTTTCCTAGAATCTAAATACAAAAATTCAACTTTTTTTGAAACTCATGTATATAAATCAATATTATTGCTATAAAAATGTTAGCTACAGCTAACCTTTGACATTCAAATTGTCGCTATAATAAAATATAGGTATTAAAAGAAAATACAATCAATAATATCGATTTTTTTAAACTAAAGGAGTCATTTTATTGTCTTGTTTAATTCTATTCTGATCAAATTGTTGGAAACGTGGTATACACTATGCAGTAGAAGTTTTTCATTTCAAAATAAAATAGAATAGAAATGTAATAGAAAAATACTGATTCGTAAGTATTTAAAACTAATAAAACAAAATTTAGTACAGATTTCTTTAATTTAGTTACATTTGATGAGAATTAAAATTAAAAATTATATATAGAAATCAAATAAATAATTAATACAATTTTTTTAGCGTTTAACTTACTTATAAAACAATATGGAGCTAAGTTTTGTTTTAAAACTTTTCATTAGGATTTTATTCCAATTGTACTGCATTTATGAAAAAACAGTAAATGCTAATTACAAGTGGCTGAATAACTTAGAAACCACTTTAAAAAAGGAGACTAAAATGCATCAACAGCTTCTTTTGTACGAAAACGATTTTTACAACAGTATTATTTATGAGCTTGAAAAAAGTATTTCTAAAATGATACCAACACGAGTTGCTGATTTTAAGAGCATTATGAATGAAGACAAAGGGAGTATAGAATTACTTCCATATTTGCTAAAGGTAACAAGAGTCGTGATCATTCCGGCAAGAAATGAAAATAATTTGTCGAACCTACACAACATTCTTGACTCTGTTGCTGAGATGTCACAGCAGAAAACTCGCCCAAAAGTTCTGATTGCAACCAAAGTTGAAAAAAGTATGAAGTATAAAGAATTCTTTCAGATGTGTTGGGTCAAACAGTTTTTGGACATCACAATTCTTGAGCTAAAACAGCGTAAAGATGATAAAGCAGTACTGGTTGAAAATTACAAAACAGTGAATGTAAATTTACACTACTATAATCCATTCACTAAAAAATATACTAGAACTCTATTCTCAAAGCAAAGTATTTTGTTTCCGTACAAACTTCGTAATCTGCATGGTTACAAGATGAATGTGAGTTTATTTCACTTTCCACCTTATATCCACATTAATCGTAATTCAACAGGGCATATTTTAAAAGTCCACGGTCCTGACATCAACTTATTGAATGCTATGTCAAAAGTGATTAATTTTTTTATAAAGATGAAAATTTACAATTTTACCGCCTTCCCGAAAGCAAACTGCACTAATAAAGAATATAATACTGAAATGGTGAGAGAAACTATATTCAACAATCATCAATTTTCCGCTATACAGTCAACACTGACGATATCATGCATTAGAAATTTTGCCGAAACATGCCGAGGTACTAGGCCAATTAATATGGTAATATTAGTACCAATTTTTCCCAATGAAGGAAAATTTCTGATAACTGAATGGAAGCTTTTAAAAATTTTATATATATTTTGTTTAATTTTGATGCCTTGGTTGATAAGTAAATATCTAAATTTCGATCAACGAAACTGGAAATTAATGTACATTATTCAAATGGCACTGGGTTTTACAGCTCCTCCGATGCCAGTGAAAAGATTAGAAAGAATAGTATTTCTCTCGACAATGTTTTTTTTCTTCTTACAATCGTCATTCATCCATTCGACATTGTCAAATTCTCAACTCGAGAAAGATGTTTCACATGAAATTAAAACATTTGAAGAGCTGTATGCCAAAAATTTGACTTTAAAGACACATGGGGCAAGTCATAGGTTTGAGAGCAATGACACTGCCTACGAAAAACTCTTTAATACTGCAATTTGATCAGAAAAGATATTTGATGATTGTGCACAATCCGTTAATAATTATCAAAATGTTTCCTGCTTTGGCAGAGAACACGTTGTTTATTTATCAATGAAAAAAATTAAAAATCCTGATGGCAAGGTACAAATGAAAATGTTTAATCAAGTTCATGTAATTCCTGGAAGTTTAATATATCTTGCCGGAGGCTCACCATATCCAAGTCGATTTGATTTAGTTACGACTGCTCTTATAGAATCTGGTATTAGTGATAGGTAGGATGCTGAATACATTCCAAAAGTGTCTTTTCAACAAAATCAAGTTGATTTAATTAAACTGGAAATCTCTCTTACATCAAAGGTGTTAAAATTAATGATACACCTTCTTGTTTTTGGATTTACAAGTGCAATTCTTGTTTTTGTTGTTGAAGTCATCATCCACAAGTTTTTGGGATTGTAAATTAGATTTTTAAGTTAAAAATGTTAGGAAAGTAGGGACAAATTCATTTTCTGATAATAATCATAAGGAAAAACATGAGACCTTTTTGTTTACTGCAAAATCTAATAAGGTTGTGTTTAAAAAATTTAGTGCTTTTTTGTAATGATTCCAGTCATTCTAGATTTTTACTAAACTTTATCAGAAACGCAATTCAAGAATAATTTCGAAGAATGGAAACTTAAACATCTACTTGTCGCTAATTTAATTTTTCTGATGGTTGGTAATAGTTTTGAGGAAGAGAAAATTGATGCAACTGATTCTTATCAGAAAATGATTAAATATGGAATTATTTTTCAAGTACCGCTTGAAAATTTGGAAGTTTTGTATTGAACATTGAACAACATAATCAATGTTTGTTTGGACTCGTTGGTGAATACATTCCCCAATCCGTTTTTCCCAATAGTTAAAATACCCAATCTTTCTGTTTCCCATAGTCCACTTTTCCCAACCTATTATTTTCCCAACGTACGCTTCTCCCAATCTATTGTAACAATTTTCTTTATCTATTGCATTTCAACCACAAAAAAATTATTTATAAATCAAGCGAACATTCGATGGATAATTATGACAAAAAAAAACAGATTTATATAAAAAAAATACTCATCGAGATGATGGAAGATCGAATTCGGTTTGAAGGAAGATTCAGAATTGTATCAATCCAGAAATTTAGGCTTGCTTCCTTGGTAAGGGATCGACTATGCATTTTCGCATATACATTATGCTTCCATTCAGTATATTAAAATAATTCTCCTACTGAACTCCATCATTGGCGAAATCGATGGTAAAACAATAAATAAAATTCCAACCATAAAAGTTGGTTTAGGCAAATAAAAAAATATAGCACAAAAAACGTCACACTCGAGAATTCTCGCCAAGGTCTTCGAGTGTGACGCGAAGTTTTAGATACAATATTCAACCGAATGACTAATTTACATATGTGACGCTCCACGAGAAAAGGGACCTATCCCCGAAATAACATAAGGCTCAGTTTTCCGTGCACCGTACATGAAAACTAAGCCTAATATTATTTCGGAGATAGGTCCCTTCTCTCGTAGAGCGTCACATATAGTGACAATAATTTTATATTAGTCAAATTTCTCCTTCCTCACAAAATTAAAGGCAAGTCTTCGTTAATTTATATATGATATCAGTGAACATAACGATCGCTTCACTATTGTTTTCACAAATTATACTTTTTCCAATCTATTGTTTTCACAACCTTCAATCTTCCAACCAACCAATTTCATATTATACTTGGCAATCTTTTTTGTTTTGTCTTATCAAACATTATGCGGTGAGAAATTTTTCCTCTTTGATTCTCTCAAAGATGATTCCACTGTGTCGAATTATTATATTTGCTACAAAAGAAAATCTTAAACAGCTCATGAGAAATTTAGCTATTGGAAAAATCTTTCTTTGGGAATTATTGGTTGTGAGAAATATATCCGTCGGGAAAAATAGATTGGGAAATGTGTCCTACAATCTTTTGGACTTTTTTCAGTAGATTAGACCAATAACGATTAATAGGTAAAAATTATAAATAAGATAGGTAAAATTATATATTTTTTTTATTAAAATTTCTTTGTGTATATTTTCAATAAATTGAGTAATAATTAATAAATAATAATAATGATACATTAAAGTATCTTAACATAATTAATATTACACAAGCAACGAGGAATTAACGGATGACTTGAACATTTTCGTAAAGAACATAATGCCTGTAGTACCGCCTGGAATGTGACTGATGGCAAACGATATCATTGCAATCAATTGAAAAATTGCACACAAAACAGTTAAAGGAGTCGATTGTAAATGCAGAGAAAAATAAAGTGTTCCAAATAACGTTAAAAAATAAGATATACTAAAACATCTTCTTTCTGGCGTTGAAAGTGATTTCAAATAGTTCATTGGACCCCATAAAAAGCAAAAACTGTAAAATATATTTTTGTTAAATACAAAATAATTCCATAGAAATGGAAGATGTTTATAGATATTATTTCAGAAATAAACTTATGTCTTACCTTAAAATGAAGAAAAAGCTTCCTAGGGAATAACAAAGTGCAAATTTTCTGGCCTTAAGTAACAGTACAGGTATATAGATAGCAGACAAAATAAAACAAACTATTCCCGTAAAAAAACAGAAAGCGAATGCTGTAAGTCGTTGGAATCTTGTCTAAAAAAAAGTAATTAACAAAATTTTTTATTTAAGATAAATAACATTTAAAAATTTTAAATTTAATTTAATTTTAAAATTGATGTATCTTTTAAAATCCTCCTATTTTTAAAAACCACTCCTATTTAATTCTTTAAATTTATAAATCTGTAGAAGAGCAATAGGGATGGTTTTTAAACATATAGGAGGGTTTTAAAAGATACATCAATCTGAGAATAATGTATCTATATCAATAGAGCTCTTATATTAAAAACACAAAAAACTAAAAACAGTTTATTTCATGTTTTATGGTTTTTTGCTTTAAGGGGGGGGTATAGTTAATTCGGTGAAAATAATGCATACTTTTAAGAATTTTTTTTGGCGATACAAAGAAAGTTAATATATTTATTAAATTTTTATATAATAGTACAACATTTGAACAGTATTTCACCAAATTTTCATTGCAAAATATTGCGAATTGAGCGAGTAAGAGCAAATCTCCTCAGGCGCTTGCAAAAAAAGTTATTTTACGGTGTACACTCTAACTCGCAACAGAATCATCTAAAACAAAAAAACCAAGATGCATTAGTCAAAGGAGATGTTTCTCGAGGTAACGCTGGGAGGATTTTTTTTTTTTCATTTTTCGATTTTTCGTAACACATAAAAGCCAAAAAACCGATTTTTTCTATAAAAAATCGACGAATTTGTTATTGTAAAATGAGTAATTTTTTAAAAAACAAAAAAAGCTCCCAGGGTTACCTCGAGAAACATCTCCTTTGACTAATGCATCTTAGTTTTTTTGTTTTAGATGATTCTATTGCGAGTTAGAGTGTACACCGTAAAATAACTTTTTTTGCAAGCGCCTGAGGAGATTTGCTCTTACTCGCTCAATTCGCAATATTTTGCAATGAAAATTTGGTGAAATACTGTTCAAATGTTGTACTATTATATAAAAATTTAATAAATATATTAACTTTCTTTGTATCGCCAAAAAAAATTCTTAAAAGTATGCATTATTTTCACCGAATTAACTATACCCCCCCCCCCTTAAGGGATGAAATAAAAGTGGTTTTTAAAGGTGAAAAGAATGGTTGCAAAGCTTTATTAATTCAAGAATATTATATTTACCTTACAAAAGAATTTAATTGCAAAAGATATTATCATTTATTAGTTTTTTTTTTTTTAAATTTTCACTTTAAGGGATGAAATAGGGGTGGTATATTTTTAATAGGGTTGATTTTTGCTTAAATTACACAGGCCAACAAAATTTGATTCAATTTAATTTCCAAAAATCAGACTACACATTTCCGAAGATTTTCGACGTGCTGAATCCGAATTCGGATTCAGAATTGACGTCAGGTTTTCGAGTTATTCTAACCTTAAAGTGCAAATCCAAGCAGCACGGTAAATTCCCTGAATATACCTTGAGTACCACAGTGGAATATTCTCATGATCTTCTAGGAAAATCAAAATGTCCGCATCATGGGAATATTCCTCGGTGACATTCATGGAATATTCCAGTGACATTAAGGGGATATTCAAGGTGATATTGAGGGAATATTCCAGTGATATTGAGAGAATATTCCACGGTTATTTTGAATTTTTTTTTTAATGTGTTTTTAATCTTCCTGCTTAGTCAAATAACAATTTATAACACATTTCTATTATTTCAACACTTTAAAAAAAAATTCAATATAACCGTGGAATATTTCCTCAATATCACTGGAATAATATCGAATTCGTGTTCAGCGACCCCAAAAACCCTTGAGTAACAAATTACAAGAAAATACAATCGATTTATAAAAAATCGTCATATTGGATCTGCTATTTTGAATTTTGAAAATCTGACATCGAATTCGTGTTCAGTTAATACCAAAAATCAGCAGAACTGTTTGAAATTTAGATGTTTGTAGTTATATTCTTCTGTATTATCGAAGTTTTATTTGTTTCTATTCAATTTTGGAATATCGAAGAATTCGCCATGCTCAGAAAATTCAATGAACGATTACTCAGAGACAAATGTAGATTTTTTAAATTTTCAAAATGGGTTTTAAATGGGAAGAATAGCACTTTCAGATGCAATATTGACCTTTTGGGGAAAAAGTTATCTCTTGATGTTGCATGTACTCAAATATAGTTAAAATCGGGTTTTTCAATTCTGAGTCCGGATTCGGATTCAGCACGTCGAAAACCTTCGAAAAAGTGTTGTCTAATTCTTGGAAAGTAAATATTGTCGGCCTGAGTTATAAGATTCATATTTTCAAATAATTCATAAAAATAATTTTTTCACATGAGATTATTCGTTTAGTTAATTTTTTCTATAAATGGCTGTGTTTAAATACATGATCAAAGAAAAGTATGATTTCACCCTTTTCCCCCACATGAATAGGATGAATTAGTATGTATTTCTTGTTCCTTATGAAGTAATGAGAGAATTGATACGCGAATTTGGGGCGGTACGAATTCAACACAAATAAACTCTACACAAGAAAATACTGCACCGCTAACTGTACACGAGTCAATTGTCAACAAAATTAAATAAAAATATATTCTTCACAATTAAATACTACATCGAAAAACCCTACACAATAAACTATTTACTAGAAAATTATCTTCATAAACTCTACACAAATAAACTCAACACATTAAAATTTAGAATTAGAAAAATGAAAAAAAAAAATTTTATAATTCTACACAAACAATAAAAACACAGCAATAAAAAATAAAAAATTAAATTCGACACAATTAAATTTTACACATGAAAAAAATATTTTCTTTATTTCCGATTATTTATAAAATTCTACACAATTAAACTCAACATTTATAAATCCTACACATCAAATAAAAATATTTTAATCCTACACAAGTAAACTGTACCCATTTAAAATTCAACATATTAAATGAAAATAATTAAATTCAAAACGAGAAAACTCTACACAAGAAAATACTCCACCGCTAACAGTACACGAGTAAATTCTCAATAAAATAAAATAAAAATATATTCTACACAATTAAATACTACATCGAAAAACCCTACACAATAAACTATAACTAGAAAATTATCTCCATAAACTCTACATAAATAAACACAACACATTAAGATTTAGAATTAGAAAAATAAAAATATTTTTTTTTATAATTCTACACAAATAAATATTACATTAGTAAATTCTACACAGCTATAAAAAATAATAAATTAAATTCGACACAATTAAATTCAACACATAAAAATAATCTTTCCTTTTGTGTCGAATTTAATTTATTATTTTTTATAGCTGTGTAGAATTTAGTAATGTAATATTTATTTGTGTAGAATTATAAAAAAAAATATTTTTATTTTTCTAATTCTAAATTTTAATGTGTTGAGTTTATTTATGTAGAGTTTATGGAGATAATTTTCTAGTTAACAGTTTATTGTGTAGGGTTTTTCGATGTAGTATTTAATTGTGTAGAATATATTTTTATTTTATTTTATTGAGAATTTACTCGTGTACAGTTAGCGGTAGAGTATTTTCTTGTGTAGAGTTTTCTCGTTTTGAATTTAATTATTTTCATTTAATATGTTCAATTTTGAATGTGTACAGTTTATTTGTGTAGGATTAAAATATTTTTATTTGATGTGTAGAATTTATAAATGTTGAGTTTAAATGTGTAGAATTTGGGGCGGTATAGATTCTACACAAATAAACCCTACACAAGAAAATTGCGCACCGATAATTTTACAAAAAAAAATCCTACACTTGGATAATAAGCAAAATAAAATTAATTAACAATTTTTTACTTTACACAATTAAATCAAACATAATTTTATTCTACACATTCAATTGTACACAGGAAAACCCTACACCGTTAACTCTGAAAAAAAATTCTACACAATAATATGCGGAATAAAATTTAAAAACAAATAATAAAAATTCTAAACGATTAAATACTACAAAATATAACCGTACAAATTAAATTGCACTCAGGAAAACCCTACACGATTAACTCTGCACAAGAAGATTCTGCACCTTATATACTTACTCATAAGTATGTTTATTTATGAAAAAAACAGGGTTGCCATGTCGACTGTGTAGAATATAAAAAATTCTAATTAACCGTGGAGAGTTGTGCAGAGTTAATCGTGTAGGGTTTTCCTGAGTGCAATTTAATTTGTACGGTTATATTTTGTAGTATTTAATCGTTTAGAATTTTTATTATTTGTTTTTAAATTTTATTCCGCATATTATTGTGTAGAATTTTTTTTTCAGAGTTAACGGTGTAGGGTTTTCCTGGGGTGCTATTCTGTAACTTCACTTCACTTTCACTTCACTCACACTTCACTTTCAAGTGAAGTGAAAGTGAATTGAGAGTGAAGTGAAAGTGAAGTCAAGGTGAAGTGAAAGTGAAGTGAAATTACAGAATAGCACCCCAGGGGTGCTATTGAATGTGTAGAATAAAATTATGTTTGATTTAATTGTGTAAAGTAAAAAATTGTTAATTAACTTTATTTTGCTTATTGTACAAGTGTAGGATTTTTTTTGTAAAATTATCGGTGCGCAATTTTCTCGTGTAGGGTTTATTTGTGTAGAATCTATACCGCCCCGTAGAATTTTATAAATAATCGGAAATAAAAAGAAAATATTATTTTCATGTGTAAAATTTAATTGTGTCGAATTTAATTTTTTATTTTTTATAGCTGTGTAAAATTTACTCATGTAGTATTTATTTGTGTAGAACTATAAAAAATTTTTTTTTTCCATATTTCTAATTCTAAATCTTAATGTGTTGAGTTTATTTGTGTAGAGTTTATGAAGATAATTTTCTAGTAAATAGTTTATTGTGTAGGGTTTTTCGATGTAGTATTTAATTGTGAAGAATATATTTTTATTTAATTTTGTTTGACAATTGACTCGTGTACAGTTAGCGGTGCAGTATTTTCTTGTGTAGAGTTTATTTGTGTGGAATTAGTACTGCCCCTGTGAATTTGAGGTTCCCTGTCGGGTCGAAAAATTGACTCTTTCTAACATTGTCCTTTGACTGTTCGTGTTATCGAAGTTGTCATTTATAAACATTTATTACAATGATTTATATAAAGAATCGCATATATTTATTTAAAGTGGTTTGAAATAGTCTGTTATGCTTTTCTGTTGGCTAAAATTCCAAAATCAGATGCAATTTCACTTGCTTAGTTTTTTTTTTTTTTTATTAAGGCACATTTTCTGATAGCATATGATTAAACCAATCTAATAATAAAACTTCGACGTCAAACGGTATTTAAGAAATAGAAACGTCATAATATTGAACTTTTAGGTTAACTCGTAACTAACCAAAGTTGGACAGCAATTAGTAGTTATACTTTCTTCTTCCTCCTTTTTTTGAAACCATTTGGCTAATTGTGGTTTAGGTATTGTCACTGAAGGAATTGATATTTTAAATTGTTTTTCATTTCTATTATTGAGAAGATATTCATTTAACTCTTGGTTAAGATTGGACATTTTGACACTTTAGAGAACGTTACCATGGTGACCGATAATGCCCTATGGCGGACCCTTTGGGCCAACGCACAATAGTTCCGAGAATCACAAGCTGATATTACAATAACTTTTTTTTCGTCGACATACCGAAGCTCCATCTCAGTTATACAATGCCCCCTCTTAGCTTGCTTTCTACAATTGACTATTAGGTTGTTCAAGTTGGGTGGGGAGAAATCCAAAATGGCGATTAAGCGGTGCACAAACAAACATAAGAAATGTACAGGATGAAGTAGAATTTTTTTAATATCTCGCTTAAATAAAATTTTGGAACTAAGTGTATTAAGGTGCTTTTATACCTCCAGTATTTTGGTCAAGCAATCGGCTGGATTGGATTTTCACGGTTATATCACTGAATTTGATTGGCTCTGACAAATATTAGATTTTCACCGTGAAAATGGAATTTTTTTAGAGCCAATCAAGTGATTCTCCGTGAAAATCCAATCCAGCCGATTGCTTGACCAAAATACTGGAGGTATAAAAGCACCTTTAGGATTTTAGTTTCTATTTTTAATTACCTATTTAATGCAATAATAAAATTTATTAAAAAAATAAAATCGTTTTTTATTATTGCATTAAATAGGTAATTAAAAATAGAAACTAAAATTCTAATACACTTAGGTTCTAAAATTTAATTTAAGCGAGATATTAAAAAAATTCGATTTCATCCTGTACATTTCTTATGTTTGTTTGTGCACCGCTTCATCGCCATTTTGGATTTCCCCCACCCAACTTGAACAACCTAATATATAAGTTCCCATTCTATATATAATATTATTCAGTGACTCAAACTGTTTATATCATTCTGCTTTCTACCCGATAAACTTTTTTTTGTTAATATTTTACTTTTTTTACACTGTTATTATAATAATACAAAAATATACTTCTATTTTGGTTATAAGAGATAAATCGAAACTTTTTTTAAAAATTTATAATAGATACTTTTAAAATAACTTTCGAATTCGTAATTTGATATAAAAATAATGTTTTTGGAAAGCCGGTAATTAAACGCGTGTAGTAGTGTCTGAACTTATATTATATATTTTCCGTTTGTTTTGTTTTAAATAATATAAAAAAATAAATATGGAAGAGAAATATTCACTTGAGAAAGATGGTACCTATTGTTTAGGTTTTCCAAATAAATTCGCTTTATCCGAAAAAGAAATTGAAGAAATTTTTTCTGATTTTGGTGATGTAATTTCGGTTAGAACAAGTGGCGATGAGCGAGGTTTTCGATTTGTAAGATATAGAACATTAGAGGAAGCAGAATGTGCTGTACAAGGTTTAAATGGTCATAAAAAAATTCGTATTTTACCTAAGAAACCAAAAGTTACCAATAATAATGGGAAAGGAAAAGAAAACCAAAGGAATGGACAGCAAAAAAATTTAGGTAAGAGTTGTTTAAAAAAAAATATTCAAAAAAAAAAAGTTTAGGAATTGGCTTGATACTTTGGTAAATTGTTGTCCTATTTGAAAGTAACAAAATCTCAAAATATAAACTTATTTTTTACAAAAAATTATTAAAAGTAGAGGGTATTGAAGGTTTTAGGTAACACTGTTATTTTCAAATCCGTATAACTTCTACAAAACTTTATAGATTTTACTTTGTCAATGTTTTTTTTGGTGGGTTTTCTAGTAGTTTTCTTTGTCATTTTTTTTTCAAAACAAATTTTTTAACCCATTTTTTCAAAATTCACCCTTATTATTTATTTTTAACTCCTTCAAATTTTTTGTTAATTTTTTTTCGAAAACAGATTTTTCCAACAAAACTATAAATATAAACAAGAAGGGGGTCCTTTATGTTTATTTCATAAACATTATGCTTCCTCATTATGTGAAGCAAAAAATTCGCTTCCTCGTGAAGGAAGCAATGAATTTGTCCAATTCAATTGATTGATTTAAAAAATTTCGAGTTAAAAATGTTTTAAATTAATTAAATTTTTTGAAAAATAAAGAAAATTTTAATTAATTTTGAGTGTAACATAAACTTTATATATACGAATCGATTCGTTTTAATGCAAGGAATACAATTATTTTATTCATCAACTTGAATTTTAAAAAAACACAAAATTTTTTAGCTAAAATATGAATTTTCGATTTTTCAATTTTTATTAATTCTCAAATTTTCAATCAAATCTATACTTTATATATACCAACCAATTCGTTTCAATGCAGGGAATAAAAATATTTCATATATAAACATGAATTTAAATAAACACATCATTTTTTAGCTAAAATGAGAATTTTTGATTTTTTAACTTTCATTAATTCTTTAAATTTCAATCAAATCTATATTTTATATATATCAATCGATTCATCTTGACATAAAGAAGACGATTATATTATATATTACCTTAAATTTTTCGATTTAAAAATTTTTTCAATTAAAAAAAAATTTTTGGAAAAAAGACGATAAAATTTTTTTTTTGGGGTATTTTTAAAAATCCTCTCGTCATTTTTGAGAGATTAATGTGTTAAATAAGCCTTCCAAATTTTTTCCCAAATCCATTAAAACCTGTTAAAGATATCGTGTTCACAAAAACTATCCACACACACATACACACACACACACACACATACACACACACATACATACATCCGGACAATTGATCAGGATCTCATATAACATGTTTCTATATAGAGGAAAATTTGTTTTCACCATTTTTAAAAATTTTATAAACGAAAGGACTACATAGCTTCCTCCACGAGGAAGCAAAATGGTATAACTTTGGGTTTACGAGAAAATTATTATATAATAATAAAATGCTTGGTCTGTCCTTCTGTCCTAATTTGAAGTTGTCCTTTTCTGATTTCACGTGTTTTTTTGAATAGTACGTAATCTTATGACGTGTCAAATTTTGACAATTCTTTTTCTCATTTTTGCCAAAGTTGTATAATTGTGTTTCCAAATTACGGAATAAGTTTCTTTAAAATTCCAAATTCGAAAATTCAATTCACGAAGCTGAAGTACACAACGTTTACCAACGAAATTTTTTTAAGTTGTATATTCATTCAAAAATTGTATACAAATACAAAAAATTTATGATGAGAAAAAAGATGCGCCAGGAAATTTCGTACAAGATAGTAATTTGAAAAAAATTTATTTTTAAAAATTAATTTTTAAGGTACTAGGGGCCAACGAATACCTATTAAATATTAATTATAAAAATACAGGCCTTGAATCAACTTAAACACACAAAAAAGTCGTTTTAGTCGATTTATATTTCAAAAAAAAGTGGATTTGTTTTTTATTTTAACAAAAATATTTTACAGATTTTTAAATAAAAAATTTTTTTTTTTTAATAATAATCCTTTTCGAAGGGTTAAAGTTGAAATTTTTAAAAATAATTTAATTTCAAAAGATATTGTTAATTTTCAAACAATTATTAAATTTTACAGAAGTAAAAATAAATTATCAAACAATTTTTGGAAAACATTTTTTAAATTTAATTGAATTTTCAAATATTTAAAATTGAGATTTTTGAAATTAATTGAAACTTTAAGTGATTTTTAATTAAAATTCATTTTTAATTGAAAAATGGTTTCAGATAGTTGAATTTTCAAAGAATATTATTAAAATAGTTAAAAATAATTGAATTTCCTTAGAGTTATAATTGAAATTATTAAATTTCAAAAAAAAAAATTTTCAATGGAAAATTTTAGAAATAATTAAATTTTAGATGCTTTTAAATTCAAATTATTGAAAATTCAATTAATTTTGAATTCAAATTTTTGATAATAATGAAATTTTATTTGATTTTAAATTGAACATTTTTGGGAAATAATTGAATTTTAATTAAAATTTTGAAAATAATTGAATAATTAGTTGATTTTAAAACCACAATTTTAAGAAAATAATTGAATTTTAGTTATTTTGAATTAAATACTTGGAAAATAATTGAATTTTAGTTTATTTTGAATTGAATACTTGGAAAACAATTGAATTTTAGTTGATTTTGAATTGAAATTTATGAAACTAATTAAATAGAAATTGAAAAATTTTAAAACAATTGAATTTTAGTTGATTTTGAATTGAAATTTATGAAACTAATTAAATTGAAATTGAAAATTTTTTAAACAATTGAATTTTAGTTGATTTAGGATTGAAAATTTATGAAACTAATTAAATTGAAATTGAAAATTTTTAAAACAATTGAATTTTAGTTGATTTAGGATTGAAAATTTAAAAAAAAATTAAATTTCAGTTGAAATTTGGAAAATAATTGAATTGGAGTTTATTGTGAATTAAAATTTTTGAAAATAATTGAATTTTAGTTGATTTAGAATTGAAATTTGAATAGAAATTTTAGAAAATAATTGATATTTTTGGATAATTATTGGATTTTTTATTGATTTTGAATTAAAATTTCGGGTAGTAATTGAATTTTAGTTTATTTTGAATTAAATTTTTTAAAAAATAATTCAATTTTATTGTGATATTTTTTTTTAAATTATAAACAATTGTTAAATTTCATAAAAATTTTAATTGAAAAATAATTTTGATATAATTGAATTTGTGATGTATTTCATTAAAATTATTAAAAATAATTAATTTGGTGAAAAATCATTTTAGTTCAAAATTTGTTAAATAATTGAATTGAAGAAGATCTGAAGAAGATCTAAATTTTATACTAAAAAAATGTATTTTATTTACATTTTTTTTTCAAATGTAAAAAAAATGTCGCATTTTATTAAAAGAAGTCGATAAAAGTCGTATTTTTGAAAAAAGTCGGAAAAAGTCGTATAATCCGAGGCCTGTAAACATATAATTTTCATTATTATCATTTAATATGTAATAATATTCTTATAAATTAAATTATTATTGATAATATTAATCTTTAATTTCTTTATAACAAACAATTGAATACTCAATTTGGCGCGCGTTTAATTTTGCTAGTATAAAATAACATATTATTTCCCCCTGTTTTAAATATTTTCTTCTTGTCCCATTTTTATATTTATACATTTTTGTTGGAAAAAATATCAGTTTTCAAATAAAACTGCTGAAAAAAAAATTTAAGTGAATTTAAGGAGTTAAAAATGAAAAATAATTGTTTAACTTTTTTTGACATTAAAAAGTACATTAAAAATACAACTAAAAAACTCTATTGATAAATTAAAATCAATAAACTTCTGCAATAATTTCTGGATTTTAATTTGTCGATGGGAATTTTTTTGAATGAATTTTTTTGCATGAATATTTTCTAAAAATCATTAATTAGAATTTTCATTTTATGGAATTTCATTTGTATTTATCATAATTATTTTTGAGCCGAATTTTTATTTGTTCGAATTAATATTTTGCAGAATTTTCATCAAATCGATTTTCTATATTACAAAATTTTTTTATAACCGAAAATTCACTTCATAGAATTTTTATTTGTTCGAATTTTTGTTTGCTCGAATTTTCATTTAACATAATATGCATTTTAAAGAATTTTTATTTGATAGAATTTCATTGCATATACAATTTCCATATAACCGATTTTTCATAATACACAATTTTTACTTAACCGAGAAATTATTTAACGGAATTTCTAATTGACAGAATTTTCATTTGTCCGAAATTGCTAATGTCCGAACAAACAATAGATTTTGGCGCGATTTTTAAAATCAACCAATAAAAAATTATTCATAAAATTATGATTGGTTGATTTTAAAAATAGCGCCAAAATCTTTCTGTCGATTGTTTGTTCGGCCATTTGCAATTTCGGACTAATAAAAAAAGTAAAAATTGTATAATATGAAAAATCGGTTATATGGAAATTGTATATGCAATGAAATTCTATCAAATAAAAATGCGAACAAATAAAAAATTTTATGAAGTGCATTTTCGGTTATAAAGAAAATTCTGTAATATAGAAAATCGATTTGATGAAAATTCTGCAAAATATTAATTCGAACAAATAAAAATTCGGCTGAAAAATAATTATGACAAATAAAATTCCATAAAATTAAATTTCTAACTAATGATTTTTAGAACATATTCATCTGAGACGTATTTTGTTAGATTTTTATGTACAAAAAAATGTTTAATGGAAGATAAGGGGTTAAAAATGAAAAATAAGATTTAATTTTGAAAAACATTTTTGTCATTAAAAACCACATGACAATCTCAACAAAAAACCCTATTAACAAATTAAAATCCATAAAGTTTTGTAGAAGTTATATGGATTTGAAAATAACAGTAGGTATTATGTAAATTTATCGCCCCGACAGAGTTCGTGATCAGAATTTGTTTAAATTTATCGAAAATCGATGTAGATAGTAAAATACCTAATTACAAATTAAATTATATTTAACAATTCTGATTAACAGAAAAATTAAAACCATTTTTTTATTAAAACTGGTTTAAGCTGCTTTTTAAAACAAGATTTCATAAAGTTTAATTGAATTTTTATAATTTTAGGTGCAAAGAAGAAGGTTAATGAAAAGAATAAAAAGAAAGATGATGATAACGAAGACTGGAACGATTCATTCAATGAAGATTCATCTTCGACACACTCCATAAATAAGCATAAATCACAATTATATGGTGGTGCATATAATGGATCCTTTAAAATTAAATCTCCAGTTGCTAATAGTGAAGAAGATTCAACAGATACTTCAGAGACTGAGAATTTAATGAAGATTTTGAGACTTCGTTCATTGCGTGGTCAATCTTCTTCAAAAAATTTTGTCCCTAATCTCAATTTGAATGTTCATGAAGATGGTAAGTAGAAAATTTCAAATTTACCAATTTACATAGAACTAAAATTTCCAAGTTTTAAAATTATTTAGTCATTTTAAGTTACTAATATTAGATTTAAAAACTTTTTTCCAGAAACCAAAACGAAAATTAATCAAAGTCATGACGAAGATGAGAAAATTAATAGAGATGTCTTTAATCCTAGACAATTAAATAAAAATGTTAAAACAAAAACACATAAGGCGGTGGATTCATCTTTAAAATTAATGAAAGAAGAAAATGAAAATTTATTGAAAAAAATAAGACGGTATTCCTCGCAAGGGAATTCAGAACGTAATTCTTCTAATTTGCCAAACGATAATGAACCTCCTGAACTTATTTCCACCGATGAACTCAAACAAAGAACGAGCAAAGTATTTGTTCGCAGTGATAATACTGTGAAAACTATTTTAGCAGAAGAAGTAATTGTTGCTAATATTAATGAAAAATCTAGTGTTTTATATATTTTGTATCTTCTTGAAAAATTTGATCCAATTTCTATCACTGAGATAAAAACAATATCTAAAAATGGAATTAGATATTGTAGTGTTTATTTCAAATCTCAAAAAGATGCGATTGCAGTTGAAAAGGAGTATGATAATTTTGAACTTTCGGGAAATAAATTAATTGTACGCACTCCACAATTATTGATAAAAGAAGTGTCAACTGATTAAAAATTCAAAAAATTATTCATTTACTAAATTACAATTTCCTAATCATGCAGTTATTTTTACAAAAAAATTTTTTTTTTATACAAATGTTCATTATTTTTACAAAAGTTTTATTTTTATAATAAAATCAGTTTAATATATATTTCATTCACAATTATAAACATGTTTAGTTAATACATTATAATCATTATTATGACTTATAGATATTCGATTAATTTGATGTATTAAGCGGAAAATATCACTCCTTCATAATGTAAAAATTAAAAAGATTTGTATTTAAAATCTTTTTTTTTATAATTAAAATAATTATATTTTATTGGCTTTGTCCTATTGTAATGTGTAGGGAACATGCATAAAGAACTTTGCACTTATTTAACTATATTTTCATTTTTTCTAAAGGTTGTTACAAATAGCTAACATCCCCTTTTTCCTTGAAGAGCAACGTTCTTTATAAATGTTCCCTATGTTATAGAAACTTATATGAATTAATACGTTCATCATTATTTTTGTAATACAATGTATTTAGAGATCACGGAAAGAATTTCTATTAATAATTATAAAATTGTTAACTTCATTTATTCTCATAAATTGTAAATTAATTTTTAATGTTATTATATAATCGTTTAATTTTTTTTTTAAACGTATTCCTATGAATATTCATTAATGGGCGCAAATGATTAACTGAACGTAAAAACTTGTACGTGCATTGAAAATTATTATATGTATAAGAATTATAAATCTTTAATGTAAAATAAACATACAAACATTTATTTCCAAATAGTGTTTTACAAATTTTTTTTTTAATTGATTAGAGGAGAATTGGGTGTAAATGTAACCAAAAATGATCCCAAAAACATAAAAGTAATTAAAAATATCCAAATAATTGCAATTATTTTCTCAAAATAATTAATACATTTGTTTGATGAGCGAGTAAAAAAATTTTGAAAAAATTGTCACAGTCACGCCATTTTAAATTTTTGAATTCGACACTTTTTAATTGGAAGAGTATGAGCTGACGATTATTTTGAGCCGTATTAAGATTATTTTCGTTGAGTAGATTTTTGGAAGGTGTGAAAATTCTTCAATAAAGCAAGGTCTCAGGTTTTCCTTCTGGATTATTATCAGAAAGTAAATTTGTTAATTTGCGTCCCTACTTCATAACATTTATACCAATCAAATTTACAATTTCAAAAACTTGTGGATGATGACTTCAGCAACAAAAACAAGAATTGCACTTGTAAATCCAAAAACAAGAAGGTGTATAATTAATTTTAACACCTTTGATGTAAGAGAGATTTCCAGTTTAAATAAATCAACTTGACTTTGTTGAAAAGACACTTTCGGAATGTATTCAGCATCCCACCTATCACTAATACCAGATTCCATAAGAGCAGTCGTAACAAAATCAAATCGACTTGGATATGGTGAGCCTCCGGCAAGATATATTAAACTTCCAGGAATTACATGAACTTGATTAAAAATTTTCATTCGTACCTTACCATCAGGATTTTTAATTTTTTTCATTGATAAATACACAACGTGTTCTCTGCCATAGCAGGAAACATTTTGATAATTATTAACGGATTGTGCACAATCATCAAATGTCCTTTCTGCTCGAATCGCAGTATTAAAGAGTTTTTCGTAGGCAGAATCGTTTCTCTCAAACTTATTAATTGCCCCATGTATAATAAAAGTCAAATTTTTAGCGTACAGCTCTTCATATGTTATAATTTCATGTGAAACTTCTTTTTCAAGTTGAGAATTTGACAATGTCGAATGGATGAATGACGATTGTAAAAAGAAAAACAACATTGTCGAGAGAAATACTATTCTTTCTAATCTTTTCACTGGCATCGGAGGAGCTGTAAAACCCAGTGCCGTTTGAATAATGTACATTAATTTCCAGTTTCGTTGATCGAAATTAAGATATTTACTTATCAACCAAGGCATCAAAATTAAACCAAATATGTATAGAATTTTTAAAAGATTCCATTCAGTTATCAGAAACTTTCCTTCATTGGGAAAAATTGGTACTAATATTACCATATTCATTGGCCTAGTACCTCTGCATGTTTCGAGAAAATTGTCAACGCATGATGCCGCCAGTATTGACTGTACAGCGAAAATTTGATGATTGTTGTAAATAGTCTCTCTTACCAATCCAGTATTATATTCTTTAGTGCAGTTTACTTTCAACCAGGCGGTTAATTTGTAAATTTTCATCTTTATAAAAAAATTAATCACTTTTGACATAGCATTCAATAAGTTGATGTCAGGACCGTGGACTTTTAAAATATGCCCTGTTGAATTACGATTAATGTGGATGTAAGGTGGAAATTGAAATAAACTCACATTCATCTTGTAACCATGCAGATTACGAAGTTTGTACGGAAACAAAATACTTTGCTTTGAGAATAGAGTTTTAGTATATTTTTTATTGAATGGATTATAGTAGTGTAAATTTACATCCACTGTTTTGTAATTTTCAACCAGTACTGCTTTATCATCTTTACGCTGTTTTAGCTCAAGAATTGTGATGTCCAAAAACTGTTTGACCCAACACATCTGAAAGAATTCTTTATACTTCATACTTTTTTCAACTTTGGTTGCAATCAGAACTTTTGGGCGAGTTTTCTGCTGTGACATCTCAGCAACAGAGTCAAGAATGTTGTGTAGGTTCGACAAATTATTTCCATTTCTTGCCGGAATGATCACGACTCTTGTTACCTTTAGCAAATATGGAAGTAATTCTATACTCCCTTTGTCTTCATTCATGATGGTCTTGAAATCAGCAACTCGTGTTGGTATCATTTTAGAAATACTTTTTTCAAGCTCATAAATAATACTGTTGTTAAAATCGTTTTCGTACAAAAGAAGCTGTTGATGCATTTTAGTCTCCTTTTTTAAAGTGGTTTCTAAGTTATTCAGCCACTTGTAATTAGCATTTACTGTTTTTTCATAAATGCAGTACAATAGGAATAAAATCCTAATGAAAAGTTTTAAAACAAAACTTAGCTCCATATTGTTTTATAAGCAAGTTAAACGCTAAAAAAATTGTATTAATTATTTATTTGATTTCTATATATAATTTTTAATTTTAATTCTCATCAAATGTAACTAATTAAAGAAATTTGTACTAAATTTTGTTTTATTAGTTTTAAATACTTACCAATCAGTATTTTTCTATTGCATTTCTATTCTATTTTATTTTGAAATGAAAAACTTCTACTGCGTAGTGTATACCATGTTTCCAACAATTTGGTCAGAATACAATTGAACAAGACAAGAAAATGACTCCTTTGATTTAAAAAAATCGATATTATTGATTGTATTTTCTTTTAATACCTATATTTTAATATAGCGACAATTTGAATGTCAAAGGTTAGCTGTAGCTAACATTTTTATAGCAATAATATTGATTTATATACATGAGTTTCAAAAAAAGTTAAATTTTTGTATTTAGATTCTAGGAAAACAAAATTCTATTCAAAAATTCATATAAGAGGTAATAAGACGATAATGAAAATTTAGAAAAATTAGTTTTCTATGGCAAACAAATTTTAAGAAATAACTTGGTATTATCAATTGTCAAAATAAAATATATTACTAATACTCGCAGAACCTCTTACAGTTGAGTTCAAAATTATTGTCGTCGTACTTAATTTTAAATCTTTAAATTAATCTCAAACATAAAATTTATATTTACCCCAAATGACGCTAGTACATTTTTCTCTATTCATTTTTTTTGTGATAATATCTTGGTACTTATATTTTGAATTCTTCTCAAAGTCTAATTCTTATAGCATAGTAAATATTTATACAAGATTATTGAATTGAAGACTGTAAATTATCAAGACCTTAGCTTATGTGCAAGCTGTAAACTTATTTAAAACTTATATTGAAGATAAAATACACTTTACTTCGATAACAAAAAAATTATTAGTTAATCAATTAGGAAATTTTAAGGATTATTAAACAGTCCTTAGACAAATGTCAATGGATGAACCCAAAACAAATTTTTTTTTGAAATTTCCTTTTGGTATCCTCCTTGGAACTGTGGCCACTTTGGGGCCGCCTAGCCTATAAAAAAGTTAATTTTCTTATTCCCTTCAAATACTGAAATTATTTACATTCGCCTTAAGTCCTGGTGAGACTTCCAAGTCCCATAAAAAAAATCACTGATTGTCAGCATAAATTAACATTTTCAAAAAAAGATACTTACATTTTAGAATATATGATCTAAGGAGCGGAAATCGAATGTGACTAGGAGTTATGGAAGGTTTAATAAATTAAAAATTTTTTTATGTGCAGGCTCACAAGTATACTTAACATTAAATATCATTCAAATAAATACGCAGAACTTTTTCACAATAAAAATATATTATGACTACAGTACTCGATATTTGACTAGAATGCTTTTTCTCTCGAATTATATTCTTTCAGTGAGAAGAAATGCTTTTTCTTTTTGTTTCATTCATAATCGAAGAGTTACAAATATCCAGAGATTGTTCACTAAAAATGCTTACACAAGTATTACAATCTTTAAACAAAAGCATATATATATCCTTTACTTAAAAAATTCTGTCAATTCTAAAATAATTATAAAAACAATTTGCAAAGTCAGTTAAAAATGTATATTAAAATTACTAAACACACTCTCCCTCTATTACAAGTAACTAATCTGTAACAATTATAATAAAAAGATAACCAAAAACATTACGCAAAACCTAAGAGACGTTTAATTTTAAATTTAAATTGTATTTAAGAACTTAAATAATTGTCAAGGTAAAAAAGTGTCTGTTGAAAATAATTTGGGTTAAACAAAAAACACTTATTTTCATTACGTATGTGTAATTTTTTATATAAAACATAACAATGTCATATGCTTTATTAAGAAATCATGTTGAATTGAATTTAGTAAGAAAAATATTGTTCAAATGGTTTCATACTTTTTGGAATACAAAAGTACGAAGTGAATTAAGATTGCGGAAGGGAGCTAACATGATAAATATATGCTCCATTGATATGTATAATGTATTCTAAAATACAGAGTATATTTAATTACATGTAAGATAGTTTAAATATCATTCAATAATCACTGAAATATTTTTCTAGTTAAAAGTCTTTCGAAAAGTTGTAGAAAACGAAACTGGTTAAAAGTGTGCTTTTTACAAATCCTAACTAAAATTTGAATATCCGACAAAAATAAATATTTATTAATTTCGAAGTCTTCTCTTCCTTTATAGGAAAAAAAATATTATCTCAGATTTCTTAAACATGATTTAGAGTTCGCGACTATACTATATTTATTTTCCTTCTGATGTCTATTCCTATCTGATTGTCATTCATTGTTTCAGTGAATGATTTATTGAAAACTGGACAAGGATTGTTTCTTTCTATACCAATTCATCGTATACGTGTTTTAAATAATGTTTCATAAAATGTATTGGTCAGTAGATTTATTTACCCCGTTCCCTTAGTTCAAATCCTTTTGCTTTGTATATAAATCGGGGAGCTAAAATATTAAAATAACTAAATTCATCCCTTTCGGACATAACATCCCTAACGTGGATGGGATACAGGTGAAAAAGCCACGTGTTGATGGATCTCCTGTTTCGAGACTGCAAAATAATTTTTATACACTACAAGAAAAAGAAAGGAAGGAAATTATTATTTCCTAATATTACAAAACGCTCCTTTAGTTGGTATTGCTATTTCCAGTTAATAATACCGATAAAATCGTTCCATTTATATATAGCCAAAGGCAGAATCCGGTTG